ATCTATGCAACACCAGGCAGAACACACTGTGACCAGCAGGTAGGATTATCTAGCGCAGGCTGAGCATCATGAGGAAACAGAATCTTGCAATCGTGGTGGGATTGTTGTGATATTTCTGCAGTTATGTGGCTGTATGCTGCAAGGCATCAGTTCAGTGTCGTCCACTGCAATAACAGTCCTAAATCAGGTCATAAAAGGGACCTACTGTAGAGAAATGAGGATTAGACATGAACTGGTATGATTTTAGTAGACTGTTGTTTCCCAGTTTAAGCAGCACAATTAATAATGGATTCACATAGTTAAAATTACTTAAATTTTTCATTACTGTTTTATAATGCTATTAATATTAATAATTAATACTGAAGGCAGGTGTTCCTCGATTGATCACATATATTAAATTGAACTTACACTCTTGAAACTCTTTTTCTCTTGAATAGACATTCTGAAGTCATCAATCACTTTTCATTTGAGAATTTGTAAATTATCCTTATTTAAAAGTTGCATCTAAAAACAAAAACATAGTGGGGGGAAAAAGCTGCATAAAATGTCATGTAAGTGGATTTCCAGTTACTCATGCACTGTAGGTGGTCCAAGCTGTCTTTTGTACTTGCCAGTTGCTGTTGTCTTTAATTTTTTTGTTTTCACCAGCTGCAGCAGACCTACAGGATTTCACACAGAACTCCATAGCATCTAGAGGAGGGGGTTTTGCACGAAAAAAAAAACACTTAAAGAGCAGAGAAGGCCATTTAATTTGGATAGGAGGAAGTGAAAAATAGTGGTAAGGGGGTGTGGATTGCAGTCTGCTGCCAAGAGATTACATCAAAGAGAGATCAGTTGCTTTAATGAAGAAGCCCAGCAGCTTGGGAGTGTTTGTCCAGTTAAGAAGGGCACATATGGATCATAGAAAAGCAGGCTGTGTCTTTGTTGTGGAATGGTCAATCAGCTGATCAGAGCACCTTACTGTAATTATAAAGTACTGATTAATGGTACTACAATGGCATTTGAATTTGCACATGTTGAAAACAAGCAAGTAGCATTATTTAAAAGTATTAACGTAATAAAAAGCTCATGGAAGGCTGCCATGTGGAAGACATTTGTATTTAAGACTGTATGACCCTGGATGTTAACATACAACACTTATTAGATTAAAAGGAAACCTGATTCGACCTGAGCAAGCTTAATACTGTCTCCATCTGAGGAACAATGCAACCAGATTCAGGATTTATTAACAGAACACTTTTTAGTTCTGTTGTGCTCAAATTGTTGATGGATTGAAATACCAAGTGAGGCAGGAATTACTGAAAATTAAAATCCTTTTGATTAAACCTTTGCCTCTTGTATACATAATGGTGTTTTTCTCAGTTTTGCTTCATAAATCTTAAAATGCACTTTTGAATGTCTCACAGTATTGTTGAAAATAAGGGTGATTTACTGATCCTTAGTGCCAGAATTGGCCACCTAATTAAAATAATATAGTCCAGAATTAGAGCTGATAACGATCTATGAAACCGGTGGTTTAAGCCATAATTAATAGTTACCTACAAGGAACCTTTAAAAAATAGTATTCCTAACCTTGTGCAGTGATTCCGTGAAATATAGGGACCTTTTAAAAGAAATTAAACCAATAACCCTGAGGTTTGATGGTACTTAAAGGTGCTTCATTGAGCTCTGATGTCACAGGCAATTGCCATGGCTATGTCAAAGCAATTACAGAGAAAAGTCAATGAATGTGAAACTAAGGTCAATTCAATTCCCCCATGTAACCCTACTTGTCCAGAGTGATCAGATGTGTGCATCAGAGTCATTGGTCTTACTTTGGTGACAGATGTTTTTAGGTTGTATAGCAGAGGTAACCAACCCTGGTCCTGGAGAGCCCCAGTCTAGAAGGTTTTAGAATTGACCATTAAATCACCAGACATGAAGTAATTTTGTGATCAGTTAATCAGGAGATTATTTGACTTTAGAGTACTTTAGAGTTTGGTTTGGGACCAAAATCTCAAATGTCTTTGTTCCCATTTTTTGCAAATAAGTAAACTGTAAATTGATTGGGGGTTTCCAGGATCAGGATAGCAGACCACTGTAGCACTGAGCTGGCTGACACATTCTGGTTCTCATAAACAGTACTCATACATTATAGTTGTACTGAAATGCAATGGCATGTTTTTACAGGGATTCTTTTCATAGCTCCAAGGGAGTCGTATTTGGCAGCAACATCAGCAACCATTTTTGTACTTTAACCTGCTGATTTTTTTAATAGATGTTCTTATTTTCAGTGAGTCCTGAAGCAGTATGATGTTGTAGGGTACATACCATACAGTAATTGCACATACAATTGCATAGCAGTCCTGCAATATTTGCATAATTAACATTATCTTCTTTTTTTGATTCTTGGATGCCTGTACAAGGACATTTGTAGATCCATCCCCAGCTGCCCTCCCATATATGATTTTGATGCATTCGGAGCAGGGAGATGGGAGCAGACCCAGAGCGGAGCTGGTGGACAGCAATCGTAATTTCTTTGCTCTGACTTCTAATGACTCCTGTGCGCTGCACCTTTCCATTGTATACAACATGACAGTGCAAATTCTCAGAACTTATTTCAAGAAAGGGATGGGGTTTTATGCTGCCCCAAAAAGCATATAATAATAATAATTGCTTACATTTATATAGCGCTTTTCTGGACACTCCACTCAAAGCGCTTTACAGGCAATGGGGACTCCCCTCCACCACCACCACCAATGTGCAGCATCCACTTTTAATGCCTTACATAAATACAATGGCCTGGCTCTAAATGGCTGAGATTTCAAGAGCCCTCCAACATGTGTGTAAGTACAGGTCTCATTTCAGTTGTCATGCTGGAGATCCTGGTAAGTGAAAAGAGATTGCTGTTAGAGGTTTAGCTTGTCCATATGGTGCAGAGGGAAAGCCGCTGCATTGCAGGGCTGTTGTAGTCAGGGAAGCTCGAGGAGTAATCAGGCTTAATAACCCACCAGAGCTGCTGAGATCTGGCAGCAATAAAAGGACCTTGAAAGAGCAGCACTGGCTGTTTTTGTAAAGGAAATTCGGTTCAGTTTATTTGTTATATGCATAAGTGCAATGAAATACTTATTTGTATGTATTCTTCAACAAGAACATATTAAGGAAACACCAAACACAGAACAGCAGCAGCAACAGCGAAATTAAATAACATCATTTCACAATTTTAGCACTAGATATACTGCTATCAATCCAAGAGAACTTCCTACCAGACAGTACTATTTCCATCACATATTAGGTTATGTGTAGTATATTTCCCATTCTATAGCCAAAAATGTTTTTTTTTAATTAGAATGATTGAAGATTGGAGCATGTCACTGCAGTTACACAGAGCTAGCAGGACACTGAAGCCCTGTTGCTTTAGCTGCTTTAAAACTCATGGCTGCACATGTCTGCAGTTCAGAAATAACTCGTCACAGATCCTGCTCTGTGTAGTCAGGCTAATCTGTTAATGTTTCTTGACAAGCTGTCAGATTATACATCAGGATAGTGTTCCTGCACACTTCCAGTAATGCAGAGGGAGAAGAGGCTGTTAGGTTTCTTGTGATAATTGAGCTGTTGATAAATTTGGTCATTTGATTCAGTGCCACATTGATTGCATAGGTATAGTGACTTCAGATGCCTTGGAAACCCAGTGCAGTAATTTTAATCTTTTGTATCAGTGATGGAATAGGAGGTAGCACTGTGTGTTATGGATTGCTGTACTTAATTTCTTAAACACAGGAATAAACTGATTTCATTTTTTTCATTTAAATGTTCTGTTGGCTGTTAAAGTTTTGTATTAGGTTTGCAGTTATTTTCAGAACTACACACATTCAGGACTGTGAGCTAAAATGAAGCCTTTGATATGTAGTGATTCTCATCTATCGATGTTCAACATGCGTAGCTCATACATACAAGAGCTTTTTAGTAAAAGAATAAGGGAGCTAATTCTTAATTGACAAGTTGAGGAGAGACTGCATAAAGTTCTTTTTGGTGGAAAAAGTATGCTTTAACTAGGGTGTTTCTGAAACCAAAATCTTGAGTGTAGAAAAAAGTCTGAAGGAGCAAGCAGATCAATTACATGCTTCAATTAGCACTGGTGATTAAGGACCCAGTTTGAATGAAAACTAGCAGACACAGCAGTCTCTCAGGAGATGAGAACCACTTTTATATATAATACAGCTGAGGGAGGTTTATCAAACCTTTTACTTTGTAAAAAAAATGTTTGAGCACCATTTTGTATTCTTTTGTGGCCATTGTCTAAAATTGATATTTTCCAGATATATCTATGGCATGTATGTAACGTATATACAGTGCTTCACAAAAGTATGCACTCACTTTCCCAAATTGTCCCATTTTGTTTAATTCCAAATGAAGTATCACTTTTTTGTAAAGAAATATTTTTGAAACTTGAATACCTACACAGAACATTGTGCCCTGATCTGTTTAACTGGTGAGATTTATAGATTACAGTGCATACATTTGTGAACAGTCTGCTTTTATGGTGTAGCACAACTCCAAATATGGTTAGTCTTTCTAAATACAGTTCATCTTTCTGTTTTCCATATTTCAGTATTGTGTTTGTGTGCAGTGTAATTATTCACCACCCATCGGTGGTGATCTGTCATTCAAATGAAACACGTGCTACTAGCTCGATATCATACAGCAATCTGCATGTGTGAATTCACTTGGCTGTCGTGTACTGCCAATTATGAAAGCCTTTGAAATGTCAGATTTTTTTCAGAAATCCTGTAAAGTGGGAAAATGTGTGATGCTGAGCTTTATGTGTTTTCAGGTTTTTCATTTGGTCCCAGTCAATTTATTGATTTTTGTGTTTCCTAGGTATTCACAAAAGCAATATTTTAAGCATAATTAATTGAATTTGCCAGACGTCGTGACTCGGGCTGTGTTTTGCTCTGTTTAAGGCCTTAATTTCAGCTGCTCCCTTACAGCCTAGTGATGTGGTAACTTGTTGTCTCCAGGTTGCCCAGGAAATAAAACATGGCAGAGCAGCAGAGGCAGCGATCCCTGTCCACATCTGGGGAGACTCTCTATCACGTCCTTGGCATCGACAAAAATGCCACACCAGACGACATCAAGAAATCTTACAGGTAAACTGCTTTGCCCCTTTAAACCTGGCTCAGGTGTGCATTTCTTATGCTGTGCCTGGTTCACTTTTACACAAGCTATTGAATGTTGTAAACAAATTCTCTGAGGGCAGGAGGCTGTGAATATTTTCTATTACATTTGTCGATTCTAGACAAATGTGCTTTTTCTGTAAAACCAATAAATAGCTTTTGGTTACTTATTGCGGTATAGTAATTGCTTTCAGTTACTTCAACACCTTGTTTTCTATTATAGTGTAATATGATGCAGTTTAATTGCCAGAATTCTTAAGATACAGCAGAATTAATAAACTAATAGATGAATTATTTATTTCCTGGCATTGAGTATTGCGGTTCCTTTTTTGTGGTTTTAGCCTATAATGCACTGGAGGCTTTTCAGTGCTTTTACAGAGTGCTAGGCATATTTCTAACAACTTCTCTAAACAGAATCTCTCCAGCTCCTTCTGCTTGCCCAGCATTCACTTGTAAAGAGCTTAGTGCAGGTTGCATCAAATACATACAGGTCAGGTGACTTTAAGATTATACGTTATTGTTAGTATAACCATCCGGAATGTTAATCTTGTTCTACCCAAGGGATTTAATTTTGTGTTTACAATAAAATGGCAATTTCCTATCAAATTAAAAGGAAGGAGAAATTCTAGTGCAAAAACAAGCGCCTTAAGCACATTTCCTCAAATGTCAACAAGTGTTTTCTTTTGCTTCTTTAGTCTGTCTTTCTGCTTCTTCTTTTTATGAAAATGTGTTTGATCGGTTTTAAAGTGTTGGAAACATGAGAGTAACCTCAGACAAAGTGACCTCAGTACATACTTCTTAAGAGATATATTGCAGACCATTTAATTTTCTCAGTGTAGCATAAAAAAATAGCATAAATTCTTTTATTTTGCTCAGTGTAAATGGCAGTTTATAGATGCATGTTACAACATTTTAAAATAATGCAGTTTTAATGCATAACTAAATTTCTTGTGATGCAGGGTAGATTTAGACTACAGGACAACTAATGCACCTGAAGCTCAGTCTGCTGCCTCAAAAAATCTGTGGCAATTGGGAAAAGGAGAAAAGAATAACCATAATATAAAGCATATGCAGTAAAAGAGCACAAATATTTCTTGCTGCACAGCTGTGCTTTTTTTCTTATTTTAATATTGAATTTGTACTGAAGTCCACAAGAGGGAGACACTGGACTGGTTTGGTAACTGTCCGCCTTGTGTGCCTTTACCTAGAAACAGCAAAAGCTGGAAGTCACATTTTGTTTGTCATTTCATGGCAGTATTAACTCATAAAGTTTTTTTGTTTTTTTTTGTTCAAACTAAGGAAGCTTACTGAGTAAAGCACCAGTATTTGTGTTAAAAAATTGCAGCTATGTCAATACTAATATTGAAACTAATGAATAGTTTCAAAATACTTCCAGCAGTTGTGTTACTAGCCATCTAAACTTCTGGTTATTGCACACACACAAGATCTGTACATGAAAGGTGTAGGGTTTATTTTAAAACATACATGTACCAAAGGTTTCAGCAGTTACTTGGATCCCTGGAGCAAAACTCTCGATTTCCTCTTTCACTTATTTCTGATTTTACCCACGCTTGCACTTAGATTTGACTTTTATGTAATTTTGTGCAGTGGTGGTGAAATAAAAGGGATATGATTTTACACAGGAAACTTGCACTGAAGTATCACCCTGACAAGAATCCAGACAACCCAGAAGCTGCGGAAAAGTTTAAAGAGATCAACAACGCCCATGCGATCCTGAACGACCCCACAAAGCGCAACATCTACGACAAGTACGGCTCTCTGGGGCTGTACGTGGCAGAGCAGTTTGGGGAGGAGAATGTCAATACGTACTTCGTGCTGTCCAGCTGGTGGGCAAAGGTAAGACAAGCCAGGGCCATGCTATTGTCAGCACTCATGCGGTAAATTAAATTGTTCAGTTTAATTGAAGGAGTGGCAGCCAATGTTCACATGTGCGTCTGTGCTCATTCATCAGACTGCAGATCTGGGGTTTTGTTTAAAGATTACAGTTGGGACCAGTTTCACCTATTTGCAGCATTTTCTAAAGAATCAATCATCTCCGGAGAATGCAGAATTTTAAAATCATAGTACATTTCTAAGTGGAATTTGGTCAGGAACAGAATGCTGCTCAAGCTCTACATGGCTTGGCGCCATAGTACCATTCTGACCTTTTATCTTCATATTTCCCCACTTCTCAGCCTTCGTTTGTCTTCCCTCAACTCTTTCAAATCCAGGCTCAAAACCTTCTTTAGAAAGGCTTTTATATAATTGATGTCTGTTTGCCCCTTTCTTCTATTACATTATAAACCCTTCTGTTTATCTGTGATAATTTTATCTCCAGTGTTTGTTGCTGTTTTAATTTTGAACTTTTCTGTAAAACTATTATATAAAATTATTATTATTACAAGTGTGTGGACGACTGTCTGTCACGCTGCAGTAGCCTCTTACAGCGCACCTCGTGCTCTCACCCTGCAGGCCCTGTTCGTGTTCTGCGGCCTGATAACAGGCTGCTACTTCTGCTGCTGCCTTTGCTGCTGCTGTAACTGCTGCTGTGGGAAGTGTAAACCCAAACCTCCCGAGGGCGAGGAGCACGAGTTCTACGTCTCCCCGGAAGACCTGGAAGCACAGCTACAGTCTGACGAGAGAGGTGAGGTGAAGACCAGGCAGGCTCTGAGCCGCTGACTCCTGCGCTGTGGTCATTCTTTAAAAAGGAACAAGAGCTTTCCCACGAATGAGAGAGAGATTTTAGAGCACCAGGGCTGACTTTTTTACTGGCTCTAATTTACTGTATACTGGCTCTAATAATTTTTGCGGGTGAAGTCCATCCAGCTTTTCTATTCAGCTTCAGTTTATTTTCAGAAAACATCCTTTATATAGCTTTCTTTCTTGCCAAATAAAATAGATTGTAGTAGTGGCCAGGACCATTGTGATATTACATTTCATCACTTCCTTTATTTTGACTCATCTGTTGAGTTATATTTCCCACAGCAAAGTCTTGTTTGAATATTATCTGTCTGAAATCTGGATTCACCTTTTCCCATATATGTAGTCATACTTCAGGCTGGTTGTAATTTTCATATTATTCAATTACTAAACTCTAACATAACACAATGATTTTTAATTGTTTCATCTGTTGCTAATATAGTTGTGTTGCTGATTTTACTCTGTTCTTCTTTTTTGTTGGTTTTCTGACTAGTTTGGCCTTTTTGAATTGTGAATCTTTTAAATAATATATGTTTTTATATCAGATGAGATTTCCATTTTTGATCTTAAAAATCCTCTTGTTAATCGGAAGTCCTTGATTTGTTTCCCTCCTCTTTGAAGAATCACATGATGGGAATGAATATCATATTGGAATGTAATTTGTGAGAGTGTGATTGAACTTTAATGTGTATGTGTTTTGCTGTTGACTGTCACTGATGGTGTTGTATTCATCCCAATGTTCAGATCAGTTCTCGTACGTTTGGTATTAGAATGAGTATGGTTTCCCATAGCACAGGCAGTAGTCCTGTGTTTCTGTATTAATTAAGGGTTTTCCCATGTGACTTGTCAAAGAATTGAAAAGTTTATTTTCCAGAAGAGTAGTCTCTGATGTCTATGACTCAGTCATTAGGGAAGAGAAGATGGACCCCCTTTCACCTTCTTACATCTGTTTGTCCATGACGGAATATTAGATAAATATTTAACTCTATTCACATGACTGACTGTTATTTCAATACAAGCACTCCCCTTTGGCTACATATTTTTTTCTAACTCCAGTAAATTGTGGTCTTTCAAGTGTGGCTTAATTGGAAAGAAATTCGAAGGTTGCCCTGAATGTATCTTCAGATTTTGCAAAGAAGAGACCCTAGAATGCAGTGTATAATTAAGACCTGATATACTTAACACAGTGAAGTTAAATAGCTATATGTGTTAACTGTGACAAAGTTATGCATTTGTCATTGTAAAACTTGAAATTAATACCTTAAAATAAAAGGAAAAATGTTGGTATTGGAAGATAACTAAATTTTTTCTAAGTTCTAATTAAGTTCTTATTGCATAAATGAAATTGTGCGTGATTTACTTTGTATTCCATATTCCCACTGATAAGTCAAGCCTAATAATGCTGTAGTTTTTCATTTTAACACAACACAGGGGTGTTTCTGCAGACTGCTCCTTACCCGAAACCTTGCCTGTGGCTTTTCACTTTCTGCAGATGAGGACAGAGATGTTGTCTTGTCGAGATAACATAGCACGAGAAGTTGTGTAGAAGACAGACGCACTTCACCTTGCCTAACATGTGCCATTTGTTTCTCTCGCAGAGGGAGAGGCCCCAATTGTGATGCAGCCATCCTCAGCCACAGAAACCACTCAGCTGACAGCCGACAGCCACCCTAGCTACCACACCGACACAGGATTTAACTAGATCTCCCTGCCAGGGCCTGTAAATTCAGAGTTTTAACAAGGAAACAAGGGGTCAGTTCAACACTGGAAAGAGAACGTCAAGGGAGAGATGGGGAGAATGAACTTTCACAGACATGTTCTGCCATGGCAGCAACAGACATCAGAATTCATTACAAATTATTTTTTTGCCTCCGATCTCCACTACTCACAATCCTATCCACCTCATGTGAAGTTCTATAGCATGCACTATTTAATGCAGTTTAGGTAGGTTTTTCATTTTATGTCTTGTCCTAGACGTGTATATATCTATAAATGTGGTTTATTTGCACCACTGTCGATTCACAATTTCATTCAACAGTGCTTTGGAAAATGAAAGTTCTGCATGTCAGCTATTATGCTTTGACATGTCCAAAAAGTAAGTTGAGTAAGTTTTCAATGCATAAAATGTGTCCTTAAATTTTGGAATCAAGAAAGCACAAGGCAGTTTGTGTGTTTCTTCTTGTTAGAAGATGCTGATGATGGTTTGTTCTCTGAAACCATGGGATTAGCACTCTGCATGTGCTGTGCTTCAAATTTGATTATATTTTGAATGAGAGGAGCACCAAGAGTAGAGTACAATCAGTAAGTTAATGTTTTCATCAGCACAGTACAATCCAACTTTTCCTTCCTCAACATGAAATAATGCATGTTTGACAGTTAATGAGTTTGTTTTCTTGCGGTTTTGTCTTGTGTGGGAAGCATTTCCTGAGATTCTTTTTCAAGTAACATTCCTTACAACAATCAATATCTATGCCATACAGTTTGTGTCTCGAATGCCCTGTGTTATCTCTGCAGCAGTGATTCTAAAGCATTATTTACCCATGGTTAGCTTTTATAATTTAATGTAATTTTGGCTTTAATTTTAGACTGTAAAGCTAAGAATTAAGACCCATTTAATGTACTGCAGTTGTATAGCAGTGCACATTTCAGCATTTTTGCAAGTACTCAACATATGCAGTATTTGTTTTTGAGAAAAAGTGCTGGCCTATAAATCATTTGAAAGTAGAGTATTTTTTTGCCTTTTGGTTGTAATTGAAATTATGCTGCAAATATTTAAAAGGTGGACATACCTAAGAGAATATGGCAGAGTGGACCTAAATTCATCAATGTGAGTTGTTAAGGAACTAAAAGTAAATCCTTTTAAATGCCCTCTTAAATGTTCTAGCACAAATGTACACTTTTTAAAAACATTGTTATAAATCAAGGTACAGATAAAAAAATGTAAAAATTGAAATAAAGAGGAATGTTAGCCTGATTACACAGGTATTCAACCTGGTTTTGTTAGTAAAGCATTAATTCGATATTTGTTACAACCATGTAATACTGTGCACTACACCTTTATAAATCAGAAGTAAATGTACTGTATAATGTACATTTTGATGTGAAAATAAGAATACAAAAATAAGCTGACTCAGATTCTGAAAGGGGGCACACCAATCCAATGGGGATATGGAAAAATGTTAATTACACCAGTAACTCAGTAGTAGTTTTTTACAGAACCACCATGTAGCTTGTTGTGTACGTTTATTAAACATCAAGTTTTTCTCATACAGTACATCATTTTTCAGACACATGTTGGTTCCATTTGTGAACTGCAACACTTCTTGCCCAACTTCTAACTGGACTCTAATCCACTCATCAGCAATCTTTTTTTAATCTCTGCTCTGTTTCAGATTTTTTACTTTTTCTCCATTCTGACCTCCGCACAGTATTGTGGGGCTGTGCACAGTTAGACTCACTTATCTAATCGGTTTGTAAATATCCAGTTAATAATTTGGCCCGTTGTTCACATCGCCAACAGCTTGTCTCAAGTAGGGAATTCTGTTCAATTTCAAAATGGTACCAAAGGGGACACAACTCTGAACTGAGTAGCTTTTAGCTTGGGACATGTCCTTTCTGAAAATCATTACGAGTTGTTCGTCCTCCTTAAAAAGCAACTGTGAATAAGTGGAGTGAATACCTATTCGCTAGTTATTCAGATCCATCGAAATGCGTGCCAGTCTACAGTTTATATTATGCTTTCCAATGAAAATAATTAACATTTGAACTATTGTGTTGTGTGTGTGTGTGTGTGTCATCAGGAAGAATTTGTCTCCCCTTACCTTTTTATGAGTATTTTGGTGGTGAGTGTTTGTGGAGTGAGTGAGCGATTGCTCCAATGTGATATTTCTACTGCTATTTCCACATAGCCACAGCTGTTCGTGCTGTTCTCAAAGATAATGTTAAAAATTCGTGGAGCTGACATTAGAGTTTTGTTTTTATTTTATTTTTTGTTTTCAGGTGGGAAGAGAGAAAGTTGTCTCCATGGCATTTCATAGCATTTCTGTTGTCGAACCAACTTCTCGTAATAAGGTAAAGGGACCAATTAAAAATAGAGAAACATCAATTCCTTCACCACTTTGGATATTAGGTACATTTTTCTTCCTCGTTGTTCAAAAAGGAGAAGACAATACTATATTAAGAATTAATTTGAAGTCCTCGGGCTGTCAAAACCTGAATGGCTTAAAGTGAGACAAAATGTTAAATGCTTTGAATCCGTTAAGTTTCCTCAGCTCTGTGTTTATATACCGTACTTAATATTTGTTTCTGTTCTTTTTCGTATCGAGGCCAGGAGCAGTGGTGATATATTTACCAGCAGTCATGTTGTGCTATGCAAACCCTTCTTTTCATATGTAAAACATCAGAATCCTTAATGGATCAATTCCAATCAAATCATATTGGGTTATATTAAAAAAAAAAAATGTGATGGAAAAGTTTAAAGAGGATCTGTTGCGGTGTTGAACCAGTACTTGAAAAGCGTGAATACAATGCAAGGGCAGCTACTTTGTGTTGTAGAGTGTACATTATGTTCAGGAATTAGCACGAATTAACTAATAACCAAGATTTAAATCTGGGAATCAAAGAGTAACATCATTCCTGTTTAGCTGACACTTATTAGTAAGGGATATGATCATATTTTTTATTAAACCAGTTTTCTTTGATATGTATAATGGCTTTCCTTGCATCTATGTTACATAAATATTCTGTGGCTGAGCAAATAATAAATTCAGGTTTCCCCAATCTCCTATGTCCACATTACTCTTTGAATTAAATATCTTTCTGTAATTATTTTACTGCCTATCCTTTTAACCTTCTTTTTGTGATTTTAAGTGCAGATCATAAATGGTTACTGTTTTTTCTTACAAAAATTTAGTTAAGTAAGCTTAATGTCTTTAATAAGCAGGAAAGTAAATGGTTTTGAAATGGAAGCATCACTTTAGATATTTGGAGTTTCTCCTACTGTGAGAAATCTGATCATGACCACATGATGCAAATCGTTTTTCATATCCTTTATTTTGACTTAATCATTTGGTCCCAATTACCTATAGAGTACTGGTGCCTTTCTACAGAAGTAATAGGCTGTGTCCAGAAGGGTTTCATTTAAGACCTGATGTAGAACATCACGAAAAGCTGTAAGGTACAGAAGACTATAGTGATGCCTGAGCCTCTTTATGGCTTACCCTAAAACAAGACAACATATACAATTTGAAATAGTTGTAATTAATAATGTTATTGTGGTTTGCTGGAGATTGGGCTCCCTGCATTAATACTTAAATCTCAACAAAATAGTCCTAAATTAAAACTAATAGTAAACATGGAAATGAATTAGGGTTTAATTTTTTAAAGAATAAGGAAATAATATTTCCTTATGCACAAGACAGTAACGGGAGATTTTCTAAAGGGTAACATTAGCAGTGAGATAGACTTTCTACAATCAAGGGCCTTAAAGGGCAAAAATAGAGGATTAATTAAAATAAAAGGGAGAAAAGTCTGGTATTTTAATTATCATGTCTGTATAACATTTGGGCTGTTTTTTTATTTACTTTTGAAACTCGTCTGAGATTTGTGTCATATGTGACATTTTCTCTACAGCCATCCTCTGCTGTAGTATTTTTGTTGTGGTTTAACATGGTATGAAGCAGTCTTGACTTGGATATATATGTATACGAAGATGTTTGTTTTGTAGAAATGTCAAAATACTGTACGTACTGTATGTGGTTTTGCATTGCTTTTGTATTTCTTTTTTTATGTGTTGTATGACCTTTTATGAACTGCTTAAGAGGCAGTACTGGTACAAAGGGAGAAGGAACATTCATTTTAAGGTAGCATAGGTGTGTCTATCTAAATTTTGTATTTAAACACTGGTAGCAATGAACCTGAAGGTTATCTGCTGAGGAACAGTGCCACCACAACAGCAAAGGTTTTCTTCTGCTTACCCCTTTCTGCCACTAGACTTTACTGGATTACATTCCAGACTTTTTCTTGTATGTTTTGTTTTTTTTTTTAAATTAAAGCGACAGCCATTTGTATTCAGGAAATTCCTCACAGTCTAATCCTCCAATCCTGCTGGAAGTGTTCTGTTGAAACACTGTCAGCTGTTGAGCTGTGCGTATCAGATCACTGCTCCACTCCTGGAATATGAACACTACTGATTCCTTGCAGCCCATTGCCCTGTGTAGTGATGTGAGCCATGTCCGCTCTTGTTTCCTATCGAAACCTCTTTCACAACTACTGTTCCATGGAAAGTCATTGGACACACCTGTTACACAACCTGCAGTGCGCTGATTTTGTACGTTGTGTTATAAAATGAAGTTCCTGCTCTTAGTTTCCAATGTATTGCAACGGATTGCAAAACCTTTCCATGTTTTGAGCAGTCTTTTATTTTGGATCATGAAAATGCACTGAAAAAATATGCCCATGAACAGTATCTGTTTAGTTTTTTTTAATCCTAAATATAGCACCGTCAGACTTATTAGAAACCATGGAACCAATTGAACAACTAGCTGTTTAACGTATTAAAAATGGAAGAATTGTTTCCTTGTTCTTTAATGGTGAAAGTTTTCCTTTTATTACAAATAGCTGTTGCTGATGCTTTTCTTATTTTTTTAAAAGCGTATGCGTTCTTTTTATTTAGATGGAAAGGTGTACTATGAATTCCATTTCTGGGAACCTTTGAATGTAGAAGGCCACCTTGTGACTTTCTGTAGAAGACTCCCTTTACTTTGGTTCTTTGAGCCTGGTTAACTACTGTTTATGCATTTTAGTCCCCAAATTCAAATTCTTTAGCTTGTAATTTTATCAGTACAATATATAATGTGACTTCCAGGGGTCTGGAGTGTGACCTCTGCAACGATTATCACTGGGTTGACAAGCTGAAGGACCTCCATCTCCTTCACGCTCAGAGTTTCTGATCCTTCTCTGCACATTTCCTAAAGTTGCTAAATTGGTAGCAGCATAGATTGTATGGCCTGCTTTTGGTCACCAAAAGTGAAAAACAACACAAAACAGCATTAAGGCTTTGTCTTAATCTTGCGTTGCTCTTACATTTTATTGCCTTTTATAGCTCATGTTGAAAGAGAACCGTTTTCAAACTTAAAAAAACTACAAAGATAAAAATATTTCAACATTAACTGAAAAAATAGAAGTATACATATAAAGTTACAAGTAAAGGTTTATTCCATGTTGAAAAGACAAGAAAAGCAACGATTCGGCCATTGAACCTCGTTGTGTTTACTTGTTCCTTTGCAGCCTACATATGCTGACGTAGCTACCTACTTGAACTACATATGAAGAATGCACTGAATGAATAGGAATTCTGAATTCAGTTTCAGTCATGTTATGCAAGTTTTACATTATGTTCCATATAGTAGTAGTCTGTACCTCTGTCTTAGTATTTTATCACTCCATGTGCCAGATATCAAGGTACATCTGTTTGTCAAAAGCTAACTTTTTGCAGCTTGACCTGCGTCAGCTGTATGATATGTGTTTGGTTTGTAGATGAGTGAAATGCCTTTGTGTTGAATTGTTATCCACGGGCAAAAGTAAACGTCAGTTGGCATTTACAATGCCAAGCAGCATAAGCTTCCCTACCTTGGGCTATAGCTATAGCAAAACATGCACTACCTTATTTTTACTGTTTATTTTTCTCAAGGATGCTGTTTTCACACTAGCTGTTCTGTTATTGCTGCCATGTTAAATTGTTTCCAGTACAAGTGAAGAAAAAGGCGATAAAGCAACATTTTTTACTTTTGTGTAACCTGCCACTTTGTGTCAACCTGTATGCCAATAACATGTTTTAATGGTTTAATATGAGTTTCTAGTAACTCCCCCTGCTTTTATTGGTGGTGTGGTATCTGTGGTCATTTACTTAGGAATCCTATCCCGAAACCTCATGACATGCTATGGCTTCTTTCTTGAAATGTTGGAAAATGCAAACTGTATGAGTGAATGCATTGTGTATTGGAACTGTATTGGATTACTGAAAAAAGAAATGTTATTTTAGAATCTTTAAAAAATAAAATAGTGGAATAATAGTGATATGGTAATATGATGCATTTTTTCTGTTATGTTTTTAATAAAGGACCATAGTTTAAATCGTATATAGATGTGGCCATTAAAAATGTGTAACACATGACTTAATGGTTAAGGTCTCTTGTACATACACTAAAATAATTATATTAATACAGTTTTATGTTTTAGCATGGTTATTTATGTACTGTATGTCCAAAAGAAAACATGGGCAATTTATCTGATTTGCTGTTGTAAAATAAATGTTTCTGATGCTTAAATGTTGTCTTCTGTGCATTTTTTAGAGAACCTACTTTCCTTTGCTTTTCAGAAGTATTGTACCAACAGCTATTACCCATTCCTGCTGAGTTCCCTTTAGATATTCTATGTGTAACTGTAGACCTTGTTTAAAAGAAATTAAACCCTACTCTCAGACATTTTTTTTAACTGGGGAAATAAACTTTTTTTAACAACCGTATGGAAAACATATCAGTTTTCCACCCAGAATAAAACAGTGTCGCATGTGTTGTGTCTTAACTGTTTTGAAAAGTTTAATTCTCAAAGGATCAAAAGTCTGGCACTGCCATTCCCCCTAAAGGCATGAAGGATAGCTTGCTGGGTAACATGAGAAAGAGCACAGCCTCCTACTGTAAATTCTAGTTGCTTCTTATATGGACAGAGAGACAGCCCCCATGATCTGTAATGTAACACTTGCGCTTTAAAAGTTAATCCTGACAGATGGTTTAGTCATGTTAATTGAATCCTGTTCTTCTGAAAATCATCCTGCTGAAGTTCCAACACAGAGCACTTTCCCATTTTCTCCCCTCCGTGAGCTGCTGTGATGTCTCTTCCCATGGAATATAGCTCCTTTCACAGGGACCAGACCATGGACAGCCTGGAGCGACAGCTCATTTGCCCCATATGTCTCGAGGTTTTCACAAAGCCTGTCGTCATACTGCCCTGCCAGCATAACCTGTGCCGAAAGTGCGCCAACGACATCTTCCAGGTAAGGAGCCGTGAGACTCGCGTCTAGCCAAAATCTGGTGCAAATCTCCATTTCTGTTATTGTCTTAAGATGGACATTCTTGAGGATATCTTGGGTTACAAAAAATAAAGAGAACCTTTTGGAAGTGTTCCTTTTTCCTTTGGAAAAGGTAAACGAATCTTTGATTTAAAATGTTCTTGGACAGCAGGGATCACAATGACTGCACTGCCCTTTACTGCAGCTATTTAACTGGCTAGATTCCAGACAGACCATTTTGGTTTCAGTTGTCTTGTTTCATCAAAAGGCACAGATTTGACCCTCTTCATAGCCTTATCAAACAAAAATGTTTAGGGTATAGCATCTGGAGAGGATTGCTAACTACTTTTTTTAAGCAAAGCCTTCAAATTGTCACATTTATGTCAGTTCAAGGCTAATGCAATCAATTTTGGTATTAAGTAACTGTTTTGGTGACTTAAGTCAGAAAGAAACTTTCTGTGCATCTTTTAAATGGGAGACATGTAAAATATCTTGGGTACAGCCTTTTGGGTAAATCTCACTATAATACTGTAACTCCTTTGTTTTTTTTAACTTGATTCCAAACATTGGTGGCGGTTTTATCAGAATCCTCAAGGGCACTGACAAACTCAACCCAGCAGATTTCTTAAGAATGAACAGTGATTCAATACAAACCAAAGAACACAAGTAGAGAACTACATGGAAAACCAAACGCAGGAGGCACTTTTATACACAGTGGGTGGTTGGAGTATGGGCCGTGCCTGCCATGTTGTCGAACCCTGGCTTCTTTTAAGGAACAGCTGGATGAGATCCTTGAATCAGTCAGCTGCCGACTACCAAATAGGCTAGATGGCCAGGCTAACCTCCTTTCTTTTATAACTTTAACTATTGTGTAATTTTAATACAAAACTCGCATTAAAATAAGGAGGGCCATGTTCAACCATGCTCATGAATGGCGTGTTCAGATCACTGTAAATGAAGCTGTCAGTCAGACACAAGCCCCTCTGCCTTAAGGAAAGTGGTATCAAAGCAACTTGAAACTAACCTACAATCCTGGAAAAAACAATGTCATGTTAACATTTGGATTTAGGATTAGGGATGCGGGGTGTCTGCATTTCAGTCTCCAATATGAACGATGGCGAGTGTAGAGCAAGAGAAGCATAATTAAACGAACCAAAACTGTGCGATCGTCCAGAAGTGGAGCACTCTTGAATCATATTCTGGGGGAAATAAAATAGTGTTGTGCACACTGGTAAATAACAGAATTGTAATAATTCCAGGTCCCCTTCTGTTTGTTTCTTAGGGTCTGGGTAATATTGCAGCGGTGGTTGTTATTGTAGGGACGCCAAGGCAGCTGACTCTCTTACCACACTGACTATTTCAGGCATTCTTTTCCCTCTGAGAGGAGAAACACCTGTGATCGAGCTTCTCCTATAACCATCCACGGGGCACTGCTGTCCGCTCACTTGTTTACAAAATAATGTACCCAAATTTAAAAATGCCAGTTGGATCGGTCATTCTAACTTTAAATTCCCTTCGAGTCACCACTTGCTGCAGGGCAAATTATGAAACGTATTTGACTTTAGTAAACAGTGATGAGTTAAAATGCAAAAGCTTAGATTTTAATTCCTACTTTTCCCACAGGATGTCACATCAGACTCCCGTATTTCTGAAGTAATTTGCATTCAAAGCTCCTAGTGGTAACATTTATTTTATAAAACCGACTCGGGATGCTCAACAGTTATTAGATGGATGTGAAACAAAAAAAATATTTTCTTCTCAAGTTACCCAAGTCTGTCGAGCATGAATGGCGCATTCATTACTGCAAACAATAAAAAAAAAACGTTTTAAGTAATACGAATTGATATGCCATTATGATATTTATCTAAATATTTTATTAGTAATTGAATTCTAAAATAATAGGAATGGAATAACAGGACACTGTACTTTTTGTAAATATCATCCTTTGGTAGGAAATGAACTGGATTACATGTAAAAGGGTAGCCATCTCTGTTTCAGGCGCGGGGCACGACAGTGGGTGCTGGGGGCAGGTTTAGATGCCCCTCCTGTCGTCACGAGGTGGTTCTGGACAGACACGGGGTCTACGGCCTCCAGCGCAACCTGCTGGTGGAAAACATCATCGACATCTACAAGCAGGAGTCCGCCAGGTATGGTTCCTGGCAATCAGGCTGACTCGGGTTTCACAACACAGGCTTCCTGGGATAAGAGCACTGGCACACGAGAGACGAGATCATCCTTTTGTAGCTCTGTGATGCTTTGTAATGATCAGCTGTTAAGCCGGTGCACAGTCTCCATCTCTGTCACTTGTAAATGGTATGACGGATACCTTTTCCACATTCTGTCACTGTAAGCACTGATCATATCATTTCTGGCTCCTGGTATTTGGAACTTTGAGCTATATCATAGTAAACGCTGTGTGAACTTTGGATTTTGTATTATTTCATAGTTGCCATTTAGATCCACTTTTAACCCTGTAAGGTGAAGCTGCCCTCAGACTCTACAGCAGTGTTGTGTAATAAAGGGGAATTCACTGGGATTGACCAGAGCTGCTATTTTTAGGTTATGAGCACAGAATCATCAGATGTTGTAGTCCACTGTTATCTTTGCTTTGTTTGTTTGCTTTGTTTTAAAATGCAATTCTAAAGAAAAAAAGTCCATCTGTGTCTCATTGATTTTTTCTCTGTGCGGCAGAAGAAATGCCAGCCTAGTGTAACATTACAAAATACCAAGAAGTTTGGTTTTGTGCCAGCTTTGAAACAAGTTGCTCTTAAAACAAAATAGGCCTCCATCAGAGTTTTATTCTGACGGGGTTTTTTTGTATATGAATTAACCTGTATATACATTAATATATATTTTCTCTTCCACAACAAAATGTGGTCTAGCTCCAGACCCCTGCCCAAGGCCACAGGTCACCCTACCTGTGTGGAGCACGAAGAAGAAAAGGTCAACATCTACTGCATATCCTGCCAGGTGCCCACCTGCTCTCTGTGTAAGGTGTTCGGCTCCCACAAAGACTGCCAGGTCGCTCCCCTGCCCGATGTCTACAAACACCAGAAGGTGCGACAACAAGGGGCAGGAACTTTTACCATAACACAGGGCCAAATTGTGAAGGTAGTGGGGTAGCTCACTGTACAAATCAGGTTGAAGAATATATAAAACACAAAACCTCAGGATCACTGAGCTGCATGTTTTTGATTTGGTAATTTGAAGTGTTATTTTTTAATTAACCTCATAAATGTGTTTTTGTAGACTAACATATACTGTGTGTTATATAGACTGATTTTTATAAATAGCAGAAACAGGTTGCAGAGTGGAGGCAGTAGTTGAAGTTTTGTATGTGTGTGGGGGGGCATATTCTCTCCGCACTTCCAGTTTTTAATGATATTCGTAAGCAAAACACGTCTCCAAGGCTGCCAATGACTGTCATCAATCTCTCTTTTCCGCAGTCCGAGCTCAGTGATGGTATTGGATGTCTGGTCGCAGCCAATGACCGTGTGCAGGCATTCATTAGTGAGCTGGAAGACACCTGCAAGAACCTGGAGGTGTGTTGAATCCATCATCCGAAACTATCAGCTAGCTTGACTCATAGCCTTACAGAACTCATGGACCAAGCAGATGGATGAAAATGGATTCTTATAAAACCAACATGTTTTACACAATAGAACTTGTTCATATTGCAAGAACATCACTCCCTTGCAGAAGCAGCACCACTGCCCCTACTGATTTTAATAAGACGGTCCGGAAAAATGTGGTTACATTGTTCGTGAAAACAGTCTTAATAGCTCTACCGAAGGACGTAAACGTACTGTACACACACAAGCAAAACTCCCAAAACACCACAAGCTCACTCCTTGTGCACATGTGTGAACACAGGACAACTGCAAAAGCCAGAAGCAGACGCTGTGCGAGAAGTTTGATCGCATGTACGCCATCCTGGAGGAGCGCAAGAAGATCATGCTGCAGAGGATCACCTACGAGCAGGAGGAGAAGACCAGCCACACCCGCTCCCTGATCAGGAAGTATGGTGAGCACATAGATGCCAACTCCAAGCTGGTGGAGACCGCGCTGCAGTCCATGGAGGAACCCCAGATGGCCGCCTTTCTGCAGGTAAACCTCTGGCCCTCCAGGGTTGATACTGGGGACAGTGGGACATCAGCTGCTTGACACTGAAAGGATTTTAGGAGAGAAGCAGACCGAACTACACATAAGGCTTCTGATTTTATTTCTTACTTTATTATTTTCTTACTTTATTCATCTAAATACCTCATGCCAAACTATCGCGGATGTTTGTGATCTGTACAAATTGCGAATTAATTATTCATTGTCCTCTGGTATTTGGATCTTGTCTACAGACTTTGAAACTTTCAGATGCTGCGTTTATAATGTTCAGACACCATGCTGATGAATACTGAAATCATGTTAATCAGCAGCTCTTTTGTTCCACAAGTAAAATAACCAAAGCACAAATCTTAAATAAATCTACCAGAGGATAAATACAGATAGGATGAAGTGGGAAATCTGTCTGTGAGTTCTCAGAGATCATACAGTACTTATTGCACATTGTAGTGTGTCTGTTCATTGTGTCTGTTCTTTTCCAGAGTGCAAGAAATCTGATTGAAAAGTAAGTACCAAGTATCCATTTTATTTTCTTGTCAAAGTATATCTTGTACAATCCTCTGCTTCTGCTGTGAACGTCATATAACCCCTGTAAACCAATTTCCTTCAGAATCACAGAAGCAACAAACGGCTCAACAGTGGAGACTCTGGACCCCGGCTATGAGAACATGGATCACTATAAGGTGGATTTCAATGCAGAGGAGAGGGTACTCTACCAGCTGGATTTTGTAAAAGGTAAATAAGAGCACACGGATGCTTAACCAATGTGCAGATCTCTGAAGAATACACATAGTTCATGTAGTATTAGAGCATGTTGTCAGGGCACACTCACATTGACCGGGCAGTCAGGAATGACCAGTATATGCTCTGACTGAGCAGGTACAATTCTAATACTAAGCCATGATGGACTCAACCTTCTGAGCTATTAGCAGCTGCTTGTTTGAGAAGCAGAGCTGAGAAATAATTTTTTCACTAGTTCTTCAGAAAGAAGAGAGCTTGTTACTGGAAAACAAGAAAGGATTTTTAGCAAGTTTAGAAGACTTAGAAAAGTACCCGTTTATTTTCATCTGGCCTGCCTTGGCATTCCCCTGCCGCCATTGATGGAGTCGTGTTTGTAGCTGAAGAGGAGCTGGAGGGGGTGGGTGAAGAGGAGCAGGAGCAGTGTGCTGGCGATGATGCAGAGGACTTGGGGCAGAAGAGCGCCGACCAGGGGGACACGGAGGACACCAAGGGACAGGCCGAAGACGTCAGAGACTCCATGAAGGCGGACATTTGTGACGCTGAGGGAGGCAGCGCGCAGCAGGTACACCCCACACATTGAAATACAGAACTTGAGAATATTTCTCACTTACCACTTGTCTTATTTCTGCAATAATATAGCTGTTACACCTGCAGCAAAGCATAGTTTGAGTAAAACTACATGCTGTCCTCGCTCGTTTATTGTTTCTTTTATTAAAAGTGCTTTCTCTGTTGTTTTCTGTATTTGAAATACCTGAAAACAGATCATAGTTCAAAGATGCACTGTTGTCTTGAGAGTGTATATGCAAGTTTGATTGTGTGAATTGAGTACAGGAGTACTAGGCAGGATGCAGGTCTGTGCCAATCTTATTAATGTCTCTCTTTCACAAGGATGACCAAGAACTATCACACGAAGAGCATGATGCAAATGACTTGGAGATACAGGGTCTCCTGGCAGAGGCCAGTGAGGATACCAAGCTCTATCCTGACTGGTATAAATCCAATGCCTGGCAGGTAGTTAGCCCCACCTTGGGCCTGTCCAGTGAACCCCTGGACAACTCAAACACAAGCTCTCAGCCAAGGGGGGACCCTAAGCAGCTGTGGATGGCCAGCAGTTTCATCCCAGTAGGTGCAGATGACACAACTGGGCCTGTGCAGAAAGAAGGGCTGGAAAGCACTCAGGACTTTGTGGCCCTGGGTGCTGAGATGACTGGGGCTAGTGAAACACCTGCAATTCAGCCCAGCACAGCTACCACAGCTACACAGGTCAGTCCAGACAGCCCAGGAACACCCAGGCCAAGTCTAAACACCCACATCCTCCATTTTCACCCAGCCAGTCACGCCCTGCATCATGGCCTTCAGACATGTCCATTGAGTCAGTAGAGAAGGACCTCGACAGAAGTCATGAGCATCTTATGTTACAGAAAAATATGAGAAACTAAATCAACCAGACGTGATATTTGATCTTGTCTTACTTTTTATTTACCAAATTCCATTTGGCCAGATCAGCAAGAGTGGTGACAGCTGTTGCAGTTCACCAACCCCCTCTGTAAAGGAAATTAAATAGAGATGGACTGCGCATGTTAAAGACAAAATTCTCAAAAGATTACAGAGAAATAAAAGAATGAAGAAATTATTCTTAGATGTATTACAATATGTACGATTTGTCTTCCTCAGTGAAATATGTTGTGCTCATGTAAAGCCTGTAAAGGATGCTAAGACATTGCCTGACGGTCCTTCTCTGCAGGTGATCTGTGCCTGTTTCACATAGTCTTCATTTCAGTCTGCTTGTCATTCCTCACTAGGCTTTTGTCCTGTTCCTTTCCATTCTGGCCATGGTGATCATCCTGCAACGTGTCTGGAATCACATTGAATGTGCGGCTTGCTCTTAACAAAGCAGGAAGGAGCTTTACTGCACCAAGGTATCAGGCCTAACCCCTTCAAGTGCGTATGTGGTACAGTTTACATGATTCTTTCAAGATAGGATGACAAGTCTTGCTGTTTGATTCTGCAGTCATTTTCATGAAAATCACTCCCATATTACATATACCATATGTGTGTATCATCAAGCAATGCCTTTGCCTTAGTATAATATAATGGTTCCATATAGGGAAACTGCTGTGGAAGAGGTGCATTGGTTATGATTACATTAGTGTAGTTGTTCTTCTCTGTTTAGACATCTGTATGTTGGAGGTTTTCTGACCTGGGCAGAAACAAACTCTAAGGTAGCATTGACACAGCTCACATGCCTTGAAAGGCTTTCCTCGACTACGTGCTTTGGCACTGCATATCATGGCAATGGCAGCTTTCGGTTCTACTCTTGTTGTTAGAAAAAAGTCACATTTGTGTGACGGGAATGTGTAGATGAGCTAAGCCAAGTCTGCCGTTTGCACAGGAAGACTCTTACGGCCATTAGAATTCAGCGGCAGCTCTTCAGAAAGAGGAGCGTGCTGGACGCGATTGTGAGAAGATGCTGTGATCTCCGCATGGGCTGGCGGAGAAGTGAGGGACAGTCAGAGAGGGAGTCAGGGCAGTGTTCACGCCTTTCCTTTTGAATGTCTCTTCCCTCCCTCCTTTTCTAGGGTCTTGTCCCTGCAGTGGGTGCCCAGGATGGGAGAGTTACAGAGCAGAGCAATGAGCCACCCTCTGAGCCCAGTCCTATTGCCACCTTGTGGCTCGGCATGTAGAAGGAAAAGGCAGGCCAGGTGCAAGGTGGGTGCCAGTTCATCACCATAGAGGCCCAAGATCCATCTGCCATCACAGCCCCACTGAACTAGCAGGCAAGAGGGCTGTCGCAGCTCATTGTTCTCTGGCAGTGAGTCAGACAGCAGTGGGCCTGGCCAGTTGCAGAGGTGGTGCATCAAAGTTAGTTCGTCTTAGTTTAGGTTACACAGACTAGATTAAATAAGATGAAGAAAACAGTGAAATTGAGCAGAATGGGTTCTTATTTTATATTTATGGTAGATGTGTGTTTGGGAGTTCCAGGGAATGGACGAAACGTCAGATGACTTGTGTTTTTGAGATCAGAGACTTTGCTGCTGTTACAGTGGCAGGAACAAGTTTGGCATGTGGCTTGTGAAGAATCATAAATCAGGATGTTGTGCACAAGCTGTAAATATATTTGTAGTCTCAGTTTAATCAGCAGAATTGTGGATTCCGGGAAAGAGAGATTTTGCTGAGAGACTTACAGAATCATCACCAAGTTTTGTGTTTTGAATGATGAGGGTGTTATAGTGGATGACATCTTTTTGTAACTGATAGACTATTTCTACTTATATAGTGGATTCCAAGTGACAGAGATAATGTTAAGACAAGAGCAAGCGATATTAATATTCAGGGACAGACAACAGCTATGCAGTGCTATTATCTCATCTGGACTCAAGCAATTGTCAAAACTTTTCAAAGTCTCAGATAATGTTAACATGCTCATTGCATGAAAGACTCGCTTTGCATTGCATTGTTGCTGTGTGAACGATCGCAGCCTATGCCACCATTGTTTACTACTACGAGTTTCCCAAAACCTTTTTTTATTATTTCTCCAGAATGACCATGAAAGGCCGGCCCAAATTCCTAACAGCGAGGATCAGACAAGTCAAAGCACAGCACCTATCAATGAGCCTGTACGACACCTCTTTTCCTTTTCCTGGTTAAACGCACTTTCAAAAAAGAACAAATAAAGTATTAAAGGGACTCTTTGTTTTTGCTCTCTGGGCAGAGAACAATTGAAAATGTACTGATGAAAGAAAAACCAAGGAGAGAGATGTGGCTGTAGCTGAGTTGATGTGGGTTTATTGAGGAAAAACGTGAAGTTGTAAAATGGTACTATCAACACAGAAGAGAATCAAGCACATTTTGGTTAACTTATGTGACTTGTGAATGAAAGAAAAAAAGCAGAATGTGGAATATTGTGTAGGATGAAGTGGTTTTGTTGATTTCATGTCTTAAAATTAACATGCACTTTTGATTATTTGTATCTTGATTGCATTAAACATTCTTTTTTTAGCTGTAGCGATATATTTATATATATCAGTGGTCTTTTAAACTCATTAATTAAATGTTTTACTATCTGAGCTCCAGCATAATTAATGCCTGCTTTGAGCTCTAGTTTATTTTAGCTACAAAGCTGTTACCAGCACATTCATGTTTATTTCTGCTACATTCATGTCTGAAGGTGTTCCATTGAATTAGATTAAAATAGAAATTGTTATAGAATTTTGCAGTAAATTTGCAATTGACAGGAAAAAGAAAACTGCAAATAAAGAAAAAATAGACTTTTGTGTCATAGTGTTTTGGATTTCATTATGTAAGTTTAATTTTGATTTTGTATTTATTTGTTAGTAAGTACACAGATGTGAATAGTGTGCAATTATCATATCTACATGTTGGTCCAAAAGGAGATAACAACTAAGAACAGTCATGTAAGACAAATTTGTAGTGTTGACATTTTATTTTCTTTCTTAATCTTAGTGCCTAGATTTGAAACTGATACTAATATAGCTTGCTCAACTTTTTCACAATACATTCAGTTTTAACAATCTGTTTTTGCCATAAACACTCTGTATCAAAATATTTGATTTGAACTTGTGATTTCAAAAACTGGAATCATAACAGCAACTATTAATCCCAAAGAAGTATAATATTATAATATTCATACAATTCACAGTTGCATTTTTAATGTCTACATTTTTAAAATCATATATTAAATACTGCACTTCAAGATTTCTTTTTACATTCAGCAGGGAGAATAGAGCTGGTATATTAAACAAGTATCTTGTTATATGACCCCATTAAAATCTGACTGTTGTAAATTATGAATAGCAATTATTCCAACCATTATTTTCCTATGGCTTGCATTAGTTTTTTGTTACTCATAGCTTTCTGGGCCATCTTTTCAGCTTTAGCCATTTCTAGGAACTCTCGGAGCAGATGGAAAGTTAGATCGAGGGAGTTGGGTTTGCCTTTGGCGTCAAGCCTCTTCGACCGCACTTCGTCCTGCTCGTCCCTGATCTCCTCTGAGCTCGTCTTTGGGCCCCCCGCGGCGCACATGCGAGATAGCCCCCTCTTCGTCAGTGGGGCGTCCTCTTCCAGTGCCAGCTCATCGTCTGCATCGGGGATCAGGTCTTCGTTTTCGGTCGGCAGCTCTGGACGCGGTGGCTTCGCCCAGAGCTCGTAGCCTGTGCTGGGGACTCTTCGGCTCTGTTGCTTGGGGACATCAGCGGGGTGGCATTCGCTCGACGATGGCAGGATTAAGACTAGCAAAGAGGAAACCAGGAGAAGCAACTTGCTCATGGCTCTTCCCGACCTGGAGTGGAAGGAGCTCAGTTGAGGGAGGTTGAAGGAACATTTCTAGTCTAGATATTCAGTTGAGCTTGTGTGGGTGGCAAGAAACTAATTTCAAATGATCCCAAACCACAAGAATGGTTTAAGTTCAGTCCTGCTCAGAAACAGTTTTTTGTGATTTTAACCACCCCAAGATATTTGCCCCTTTGAAACATCACCTAGTACTGTTAACTAAGCAAATCTAAAAAGGAAATGATACTTACTGCTTCTGTCTGTTGAAAATTCACCTCCTTTACCCACTGAAGAGCCAAACTATAGTGTTCTTGTTCAGTGCTGCAGAAAGGGGAAAGTCAGACCTGCTTTTATAGCCCACAGCAGACACACAGTATTCCATTGGGCCCAGTAGGGTGGTAGTTTGTGTGTTGGAGCAGAAACATATCTGTTGTTATTTTTTCAACTGCGTTCCAATTTGAACAAAGAAGTGACCTGAGACTGGGGATCAGCAAATAACATTGATGTTTCTGACGTAGAGGAAATGAAATTTGTGAATCAGTGAGCTGTGAAAGTCTTCATTAAAATATATCAAGTCACCCAGCGTCTGTCCTTAAGCAAAGCAGAATATGCTGGTTTTGACTTGCAAGAAATATTTATATTTAATATTAAATAGTTTCATCATCATTATTGTTGTTATTAACAGAAACAGTTAGTTAGCATGTTAGTAAAAGCAACCATATTTCAATGGAAATCAATTGTGGAATTGTGCTCAACTCAGTGTGACAGAATAATAGCACATCAGTATTGATTAGCTCTTTGTACAGTATCTAACAAAAATTCATTCATTGTTTGGAAAATAATCACTGTACTAAATTACTCTTTAGTACAGCATAATTTTATATTTTCCTTAATTAGCTGTCATCTTTCAAGGTAATATTTATATATTTTTTATTTACAATAGTGACATCTCTTCGTAAAGCTGTGGTAAAATGTCTCACAGTAGCTCTCAAATTTGCGTGCAACTTGAATATGACTGTTAGATGCAAACTACAATTCTGAAGTGTAAAAAAGGTGATTAAAAAGTGCTGAACCTATCTGGGTGTAGGACAATATAAAGGACTACATGCTGCAGTTGATATTTTTTTCTCTATGGGTAGAATATTATGGCCTCAGTAGGGATGCAGGATCTTCAAAATCTTTGGACATCTTTGGACATCTGTTAGGATGTGCAACAGCGTATCATACATACTGTACGGATGAATGTGGGTCTATGATATGTTGTAGAAATATGTGGCTTTAGGAGTATGGTTTGCCATTTTTTTGGCTGTGTGGGTGGGGCTGCTCAGGATAAAATTCTTTAGTGCATGTGGGTGCAAGGATATTGCAGTCTTAGGCCACCACTGCCCTGGAAACTCATGAAATACCACTGCATATTTTAATATGAAGATCTCAGAACTTATAATCAGAAAGATTCAAAATATTTTAAGAGCTATCAGGCAACATGCACCCAATCTGCTAATATGGTCATGTCCTAAAGTAGAAGAGACTTGCTTCTAAATGTACCATTATGCTTCTACATTGAAGTTTTTCATACTCTTACTTTCATATTTCCCATTTACTGTATCTTAGGTAAATAATTTTAGCCACTGAATGCAAAGCATCTCTATATTATTTGGCCATGTTATAGTAACCACGTAGCCCTCCCAATCCTTGGGACATTAAGGTACAAGACAGGTTATTAAGTTGCTTTAAAGTTAAAGAAAGTAGTATATCAAATATGACAGCATTCCTAAGACAAACAGAGGTGCTTTATCTGTGTTCACCACAAATGAGCAAAGGCAACAGGCTGTTACAGCCTCTGGTCAGACACAGTAATTGGCTACAGTGTGTTACTGATAGCAAATCAGAAAAGCACTTTTTTATGAGATTATGTGATTTTTTTAAATTAATTGCTAAAACATAAATGGTATTTTTTGTGATGGTGAAAAAAACTCACCATAACCAATAATATCTTATTATAAATACTTAAGTAGACTTATTTCTAAAGTTTTAGCATATGCAAGTATGTTTATATTTAGCATATTGTGATTATTAAATAAGTAGGTTGTGTATTACCTTGTAATTTTTCTTTAGATCAGATTAGAAGGTGGCAGGGACAGTTGTGTTTTTGAATGCCTAGACCAATTAAGACTTGATCATTCTGTTAGTGAAGCGGTAATGCTTAGTGCATTCAGCTCTTTAAGTTGAAGGGTAAATTTAGAAACCTCTCCTGTCTCACGGTGAATTATTGATATATGGTCATCTTGCTAGAGTGCAACAAAGTAGTCTACTATATGTTGGTAAATGCTGGTTAAAAAATCACGTCCACTGCTTTCCCTCGAAACAGAGATTGTGAAACTTTAAGCAACAATATTTATGTCGTGGACTCGGGCCCTGGTCCCTGATCAGTGCGACGTGCAGGCCTGTCTCCCAGCGGGGCTCTAATTACAGCGACGCCCGCGTCCCGGAGGTCTGCGCTGGGGCTCGTCAGGCTTGTTTGCCTCCCGCGCACAGAGACATCGTTTGTCAGGGTTTCACAGTTTTTCTCCGACAAGGGACTTGTCAAAGATGTCAGAGTTGTCAATATGCCCTAAAAGATGAACAAACATCGGGGAAATAAACTGGCGTTCCCCAGACACGAGGTGTTACAAAGTCAGTTTATTTAAAGTCTTTGTTTCACAGCCCACGTTTACAACATGTTATATTTTTTAGACAGCAGAACATTACAGAAGGCAGGGTCTTCTACAAATGTATTACTGGTTGAGGTGGTTTTTCTATTTCAAACTGCTTCAGTTGTCTTAAAGTCAATATTGCTGCTGTTTTTGTTTTGCTCCTTTTGTTTGCATCCTCAATGCTTTATTCGTATTACCGTAGATTTCTCTTAGAGTGGCAGCTCAAGCTTCGGAAAATCTTGCCAATTTGATGTACGCACCCTTCTACCATCATCTTTGCTTATTCGACAGTCTCACGCAGGCAAAAAATACTGTTTCAGGTAGAAAGCATGTAAACGATTATAGAAAACTCAGGTTTTCTGTGCTCCGCTCTAAAAAGGCACATTCTGGTTTTCTGGGGGAACTGGGTCTTGCAATGTCTTGTTTAATTGAGAAAGCGTTTCATGGGCTGACGAACCTGAGATTGAGCATTGATTTTACCATTCTCAGGTTAGACAGTCCTGGAAACACCTCTCTGAACGACAGCTGCACGGCTTCCCCCGGTGTAGAGCAATCATCCCTCACGCTACGTGCGAACAGCATTCTTCTTTTTTTATACGCCAGTGCGCCTTGATGGTTTTCTGATCGAAAGGGCGACAAAACAGGGCCTCCTTCCAGTTCGCTCACAAGTAGAGTAACCCAGGAAGCTGTAACACAAAGCACATGCAATAATGTACCAGTAGCGGACAGCGAGTATCGAACTGGTGTGAAATAATGTAATCCCTGACCTTAGCCGCTACTGGATCTATAGCTGACACTAAAATAGCTCAAACTGTCGTTTACAAAAAAGACACGTCTTATATTCATTAAGAAGTTGCTGTATACATCAACACAATTCGAACAAGTGGCAGATAGAAAGAGACCCCCTCAGTATTGCTTGCGTGGTGCTGGTACCGTTTCGGTAAAAGGCCTCAAGGTTTCCATTGGTGTTTACACTTCCAAAAACCACTCATTATCTAGGAAAGGTTTTTTAAATTGCAATCCATTTTTCAGTGTCTCATTTACCTCAAGCGAATTTGTCTGAAGGTCATTTGAGCATTAAGGAAAAGAGCTGTACATTTTAGTAGGCTTTGTACTTTCAACTCTGACACAAATAAGTGAGTATAATAATGACAGATTACGACAGAAAAAGCAATGAAAAACAAGTGTCTCAAAATCCCTGTAATTCTGGGTCCACTATATTAAAATTCTTATATTCAGTTCTCACATCTAATTACAAGTCCCATAATCTGTAATTTTAGAATGTATTAGTAATACTCTGCTTGAAGTCTCCTTTCTTCTAAAAATAAATATTCCTACACTGTTTTTTCCTCTTACTGCTATCACTCAGAGAAAAGCTATATGAAATTACTTTGTTTTTTACTTAAATGGACTGAGATAAATACGAGTTCTTGCTGCTACGTTAACGCAATATTTAATATAAGGCAGTCCAAATTAAATGTTTAAGACTAAGAACTTTAAATTAAAAGAAACAGGAATGGAAAGCACTGAGACTGTTTTCACCACACGTACCTTTCTATATTTATCAGGACAGAGTTTTAAAAATTAATCCTAGTGGTCTCACAGTGTTATAACATATTAGACTGAAATAATTATGTCAAAGGGTCCCATGTGCGTCAAAGGGTCTTACCATTTTTAGGATACTAATACAACACACCGAAAATTTGTTGACTGAAATAGCCGTGGTGTTACATATATGTAGTATATAATGAAATTTGTGGTGTTTTCAGGTAAAACTAAACTATGTCTTTCATTTTATTTGCTATTATGTTGCATCTCTTGCTTATAACTCCATTAAAAAAACATATCCAAAAGCAAAAACCATGCTTATCTTAAACCAGTAATACCATGCAAACTGTAAGACTAAAGAAAAACAAACCAGGGTATACATTTGATATAAAACTATTGAACGTTAAAACCAGATTATTCTCTGTTGAATAAGAGTTGTAGCTTCTCAGTTAATGTATTTTTGCTCTTCCTGCAAGAGCGGATGAAATGGCTTGTTTAAACAGACAAGCCGCTGCTGCCAATTACATTAAGAAAAATTTAGACTCCTTAACATTCACATTGAGTGTGACAGCAAAGGTACTGTAGATCTCCTAAATGAAATCAGATAACATAATACAATTCTACACCATTAAGCACAGAAAGTCAAACTGAAGTGTTAAATGTTCATAAAAGAAATATTTTTTTAAAGATTTTGCAAAGACAAAATATGAGTATTGAAGTATTGGGTTGTATCAATACAAGTATTCAAAATCCTCAAATGCACTGACAAAGGCAGCCAGATAGATTGCTTTCACATGGACAGTACAACACGAACCAGAGGACTCAAGTGGAAACTACATACGAGGCCATTTCAAACCCAGAACCAGAGACACTTCTTTATCCAAAGGTTTACAGGAGAATGGAATAAGGTGACCGGAACAATAGAAGAAGAAGCCGATACCCTGATTTTGTAAATAAAACGGAGCTCCATGAGCTCCTTGGATCATTTAACCACTAAAGCCGAACATGCTAGATAAGCTGTATGGCTTCCTCTCTCGTTTGGAGGCATTCCTATGATCATATGAGCCAAGTTGAACCCCAAGAAAATACAGAGCTGTTTCATCAGCTCTTTAACAAATTAATTTTGTGTTAAGCTTGTCTAACGTATCTGCTGATACAATGACAACAGATACATGCTTCCTTTAAGCACCTGACACAGGATACAGCTCCCATTTCTCTCACTTACACAATAATGTCAGAAGAGGCCTATATATGGGCAGAGATCATGCCGCACCTGGGTGGGAGGGGGGAGCATCTAAGACTAGAGTCTTTCTAACCAGTCCTGGAATGGACTGCCCTCCTGTCAAGAGAGTCTTTCTCTTCACTGGCTTTCAGCCATTAGACCACTCTGTGCGTTATTCAAAAGAGTTAGAAGGCCTGGTAATCAAAATGGTCCATGTGTGTCATAAAACACACAACTTCGTACACATCTTTGATGAAATAATTATCTTCTCCTGTTAATCATATCACTCAAGCTGTGGAATACAAACGTAATCACAAAGTGTTTGCATGAATGTTTAAAACCAAAACAATCTACTTTTTTCTGCACAAAATCAAGCTCCATCAGCAACTATGGCTTTTATAGATTATAATCTTATAGCATGCTTTTCTACGCTGGTTCTGAAGTATCAACACATCAACTTTGTATTCCCCATTACAATAAAAATGTATACAGTATATATTTTTTATATACTGAGTTTAAAGCTGCATTACATACTGTTAAATGCTTAATCCTTTAAAAAAAATGTCAGCTTCAATTATGTTATAATGTTTGTACCACTTCTTTTTTTTTAAATGGACACTGAAAATTAGTGTGAATTCTTACTCAGAATTATATAAATTTAGCACACTGGCTTAAATTCAAAAGGGGAATTAAAAACATTACACAAAATAATGTTTGCCTCACTTCTACATCTCCACTAAATTTCGCGCCATTATCTTCACAGTGGGCCTCAAATTGTATCAATGTATGATGCAAATAAACTAGTAAAAACTGGGCAAAATGTGAATAATGGTGCTGTCTGTATGAGAGAGATGTAGTAATTATTTCCATTCTGTTCTCAATCCATTTGAAAAAATGCTAACTGCACAGGAAAAAAAACAATCGCAGTAGCCATTTTTGGTATTTTTTGCTGACTAAAATATTATAATGAGGCCAAATATTAACATGTCGGACAGAAATACAGAAATGCTCTTATCAAGTACAATTGTCATTCATATACCACATTTTACAGCAACATTGCAATGGTATATTACATTATAAAACAAACTACATTTCAGAAGTTCCAAAATTAAAAAACATAGTTATAAAAGTTTAAAAAGTCGCAAAATTATGACAGGAAACCAGTTCAGTCTATCTTAATCTAATCGCCATTAAGATATTAACTTTGATTTATATGTATTTTTTTCAGTTTAAAATTTGCTAAGACCTGGTGGGGAAAGTCAGTCACTGGCAAGTACACTGCCATAACTGGTGTGTTGTAATCACAACGTATTTGAAGAATAATCACAAAATTAGATTATCATTACATAAAATACAGTGTATATATAGAGAGAAATAGATTTATACTGTTTATCGGTTAGGTAGGCATTAGAGTTATCAGACAGCCATTCAATGCAGAATGTGGATTATTTCTATTGTTTTCAGTCATTAATGCTGATCTTTTAACTTTCTTTTTCACAACTGCAATACAGCAATACATCATATCCAATGAAAACCTTGGTACTAATATACAGTAACTCTTTTTAGTTCAGTTTGGAGATCAAAGACCTCTAAGTTAGACAGTTCCAGCTTTAGAAGCTGTTGAGGCATGAACCTAAAGCATCACACATACAGTACAGCACACACAAGATTGCATTCAGGTCTCTTCAGTTTGCCGTTGAGGCTGAGTTTGCCTTACCCATTTGAAATCTTCCTTTCTCTAAACCCGGCAGCGTTGCCAAAGGCCAAAATGTCTTTTTCCCATTGCCTGCTGCTCCAGCACTGAACCTGTGAAGCACGAGAGCAGCCTGACTAGAGACCCCTGCTTTTATCATCCTCAGTGTCCCATGCTGCTCTGCACTGGCGACTAGCGTTCTGCCACATACTACACTTGCTTCCTGTTTGTCAATTGTGATGGCTTGTGGTAAACTTTCCATTGCATCTCTGACTTGGACATCCACAAGTCTCTCCTTTTGACATCTGATTATTTTCAGTGAGAAGAAGAACGGTGCTGTACGCAAACGGACACTTTATTCAAAAAGTGCTTAAAAAAACAGTAAACCTTGACAGACTTTCTGGTCAACGTTTACAAAAAAGGCCAAGAAAGTTTCAAAATTACCACAGAATCAATATTCCAAAATAAAATGTTTCAGGTCTAATGTGAGCCCTTAAAAAGCTGCAGTTTACTCTAAACAGTTCACATCGCCAACAAATAATATAAAAAAGACATGAATGTTCCAGTATAAAATGTCTTATGCCTAATATGAGTTATTAAAAACTGTTTATTGTTTATTATTGGGAAGAGATAATTATAATAGCCTTTAATAATAAAGCCTAACAGGTTAGGTTACAACTGAAACACTTGCAATGGTGTGCAAATACAGAGGTATTAAAGCATGGAAAACTGCTGTAATTGCTCAGCTACATTTAACATTTTAAGCACTAAAAATATCTTTCAACATTTTGTTAATTACTGTGCCTATGAAGTTTAATCATAAACAACTAGTTAAATTTATAATGAACTTATGCTTACTTGAGTTTTAGCTCAACCAATACACAGAACAGAGACCTGTTAAAGGTCTTGATAGCCAGCTACAGGTAAAACTTTGCTCCAAACTTCAGACACTCACACTTAGCAATATAAAAAAGTCCAGCTTGCATTGAACAACCAGCTCAAAATTAGTTTTAATTAGACCTAGTTAACATTCACTCGCTTGGATTGCTTTTTCTCTCTGCACACTTTCTTATTGATATGAGCATTAAGAACACAGTTAACTTGTACAACCGAATTGTGTTACCTGTTTCATCCTGATTGAGCTTGAGAGATTCAGGATTCAGAGCTCATTCCTGGAGGTCATGGCGACAGAACGGGATGAACGTACCCATCACAGCTCACCTCATCTGTCAGTTATGAGGACTCGTAGTTAAGTGTGTTAATAATGGAAAATGATAAATGTTATCGAGGTTAGTTTCCATGTGAAGAACAGAACCACAATATCCTTCCTGTGTGCTAAAATGTGAATGAAATTTGACATTTTTATAAATATGAGTGGTAGCATAATCAAGATCTAAGAGAGAAAGGCCACTTTATTGATCAATTTTAGTTAAACAACAAGTGCCTTTGGGAATATCTGCTGTGTTTAAAATACAGAAGAGTTCAATAGGTTTCTGACAGAGGGCATAGTACTTAGTTTTCGTGCATTGCTAGAAGTGTCTAAAATAGCTTCTTTATAGTATCATGTGTTGTATGGGTTTGAACATAAAGTACATTGCTAATTTAAACGTTTGAGGTCAGAGGCTGACCAGAGGAGCTACAAAGGTACATGTAAAGGTAGTCTTAATATGGTCAATGCACTACAGGAAACAAAGCACAGATCTTCAAATCAACAGGCAGGCAGCCTGTGACCTATTATTTTTACAATTCTCTTCTTATTATTTCCAGAGCTCGATGTTGTAAAATCTCTAGCTGCTTTTTACTTACGCAAGTCCATCAAGAAGTGTGAAGTTCAGTGCTTGTACATCCAAGACTTTATTATTTGTACATTTCAATACAAACAATACAATAGTTACAATAGTTAAATTGGCGTGTGTGCATTGCTTGTCCATATAGGTAAGTGAGTTCTAAATGTTTCACTTCAATACACAGTGGATTAGAAGGAAAAGAACCTGATTTATGCTGTTATGGACGGTTTGCTTGTATGCTGTTCCCGCTGCCGAATCTGATGTAAACAGTATTCTGTGCTTCCTCTGAACATTTTTCTACAGTGTGGGTGTGAGCATAAGGTACTGGCTGGGTGAGCTTTAAAAAGCTGTTGTAAAATACGACTAAAATTCCAGTCAGTAACAGAAGAACCTTGTGGCAAGAAAGCAATATAAGAACAAGGCCTTTAAGCACACTTAGAAGGCCTTCTTTCAAAAGTCATATTATCAGCTGCATTAAGTGACTATTATTAAACCCACTAAAGGGACGTAGCACATTTGAGACATTTCAGATCACAGTTCCCCAGTCTCAACTTCAGACTCCTTTTCTTATGAACTCTGAACTTCTGGAAACCTTTTCAGTAGTATATGGAGAGCAGAACCAAGAGAGAAAAAATTAACGTGCAGAATTATTCTTAATGGAGGCGTGATGTTAATTTGGCCCAAAATTCCAAAAACTCCAGTTGTTTTTACCATTGTCTTTTTTCCAGGGCATCTACAAATGCAATATTCTGTATACTTTTAAAATGGAAAAATGGAAAACGTTTAAAAAGGAAACCAGTTTCATTTTAAGGACAGCATTAAGAGCTTTCCTTCTGGATCATCATTAATGCATGCACTGGAGCTTAAATTTTGTTTCTTGTTTGTGCATTAATATTTCACAGATGAAAGAAATACCCTTGTCTCCTGCACCCCACAAAACATTCACGCTAGTGACCGTGATGTTTTTTTTTTGGATGAGCTTGACTTAATGATTCTCAACTGTAACAGTGTCACGTCTATATCACAGGAAATACGAAGTCTGGTATTGTTCAAAATGAAACTTGCTAGTGGAAAATATTTTTTAAAGAAATAAGAAGGATTAAAATATCACAATTCATTACAGACTATATTATCTTTATTTTGGGTTTTAGCATCTTGCATCATTTGACACAGTACTGGGCTATGACCTACTTATGGAGCTGTTCTAAAAGTGCAATATATGTGGAAAAAGCAACAAACGATTCATTGCATGTTTCTACTGAAAAAACAATTCTGAAAAGCACTCACAGCTATTAATATAGACATTATAACAAATAAAACTTATTTACCTGACTTACAGTATGCTCATTCAATAGAGGTGAGTTTAAGCCCAGCACTATGGTATTGTCACTGAAATGTAGCCATGATGGTCTTAACTTCATCCAAACAATACGAAAACATTTCAGTGATGATAATCACAGTTCCGATAAAAAATACAACAGAAATTTTAAAGAAAAAACAGTTCAGGTGACACAAAAAAGCCAGTTCAAAGCCATATCATATTTCCTTGAAAAAAAAAACGTTTTTAAATGTATTTTACTTTTCCCTTGTGCATTAAGAAACTTTAAACCTCTGCATGGGGAAAATCGTTATTGGGCCATGTGATAAGTTTTATTAAAATAAAAAAAAAACATTTGTAAATATATTTTTAAATAATCCAAAATGTAGCAAATTAGCTTATGTAGTATTATTTCACTTCAATTTAAAATTTCATGCAAAATGTAGCTCAAAAACAAACAGCTAAATTATAATTGAAGTTCTACATAGATGACGTATTTATATGTTCAAAACAACATTTTTTTAAAAACTTGCTGGCAACTAAAACAAAACTGTGCTTCTGTACTTTTTCTGCAATGATAAATAAAAGAGCAGCATTTAGAATTGTTTTGAAGAAAACAATAAAACTCCACACTCAGTGCACACTAAGACTAACCTGAAAGTTATAGCAATTCCAATGAAAAAAAAATAGTGCTTTTAGGTCCTTCTACTGTATCTGGTGGGTTTATCAGATTTAGGTTTTATAGCATTTCAGACTAAAGTTTTAAATATATTTTAAAAAATCAAACCTATGAGAAAACAGGAGAAAAGCCTTAGACATATCAAATTAGGGCAAATAAATTCAATACTTGACTCACAGAACTTCACAACAGATATCACCAAACACTTGTATAAATATAATTTACTACTACTAAGTACATAAATAGGAGTTGTTCAATACATTTTGAGTTAGAGTTAATCCCATTTTATATTGCTTGTTACACTTTTTTCATTCAACCATAAAAATTTGTGATCTAAATTAAATTCAGATTTATACATTCTGCCTGCCACATCATTAAATGAATAATGAATGTATTCAATGATTCTGGCTATGCCTGGAGTTTTTATCAAATTCAACCCATCAAACTAGCTGAAAACCGAATATCAGTAAACTTATAAAACAACAATGAAAATATCTCATCATGCAATATGTTTCAAAAGAACTCCTCTACATCTTTAAGTGTTGAAAAAAAATCCTACACTTTGTTCAATGTATATTTGTAAATTAGCACACAACAGTGAGTTGCACATAACTTTGCAAACTGTTCTAAAACACAGCATATACTGTGTGAAGTACAAATCTCACACACATTTACTGTACGATCAAGGTAAGCAATGTTGTTCAAACTGAATCGCCAGCGTAGGCCACAGTTATCACATGTACTAAGTGTATGCTAAAGATTTCAAATATATTTCTCTCATTTAAAAGTTACAATGCCCAGCAATGAATACCTAACTTTAAACAGTTCTTCCAGTATGCTGAAATGGAACACAGCAAAAAGGACCATTAAAAAAAGAAATACAGATTCATTAATACAGTCCTCTCAAACATTTATGATTCTCCATAAAAACCTTTGTTCTACTAATAATATAATCACTGCACTGCTTCATAATCTGTACAGTTTTAAAAATGCTAAGCCGGTTTGTACAGCTCATTTGAACAAATTATTGTATTTAAAACACTTTGTATTTGTAGTAATACAACGTATACAATGAACAAGGAGTGCTGAACATATCGAGGTAGAAAACATCAGTCCCTACGGTGTCAAGTTGAAACAAAACAAATAAAAGTGTAAACACTATTGTGGTAATTAAAATGAGAAAATCGGATACAAGTCATTTACCCTGAAGAGTGCAGATGTTGTAAAACTATTCCATAAACAGTGCTTTCAGTACGGAGCTTCTCACTTCGCTTGTTCATTTGATTGCCAATTTATATTCAGGTGTTTATTGTGCACGGCTATGGTAACACATATAGTCAGGCAGGCTTCACCTTCATTGACATACATTACCTTAATCTGATGTTCTCTAGTTCTATTTATGCCACAAAGAGAAAGGAAAAACAAGGGGATATAAATATATATACTGTATATCGACTTGACTGCCACTGTGTATTTAAGGCTTTCTGCAAAACTATGTCCTGCAAATGATTCTCTCTGCAGCTTCTGCAAGATAGTGGTTTGGTCACTATTGTTTTAGCCAAGGAGGGGAAAAAAATGGTTAAAAACTGTGCCGCCCACACAGTTTTCCGATGCAGTGGTCCTGGCAACACTTTGTGTTCAATGCGAAAAGAAACGTACACCTTAAGGTAGCATTTAAGAAATATTCTTGAGGGTGAAGAAAATTTCTTCACCCTCATTCATATAAATAAAATAATTTGTGTTGTTGAATACAACTCAAAATATCTTTTACGTCCTGTTTATCATCATAAAGGTACTGTATGTAGGGGAAGGTTCTGAGCAACCTTTTACTTCTTCTGCAGGTAACATTCCATTTCTATATCTTGTTACGCACTAGGTTTGAACTTTAAACAGCTATACAAAGGGCGATATTGTTCTTAAAAATAAAAAAAAATTACGTATCCAGCCAGTGATGTTTTTTCAATAAAAATATACTCATATATAATAATTCTTCATATTTATGAAGAGTTATAACATTATTTTCTAAATCCAAAATAAAATATAAAAATCTGTTAAATATACATATTTATAGTCTTTACTCTGTCATTTTATAGCTTTTCAAAGCGTTGCATGGATCATTAAAAACACCCATGAGCCTCTTAATTTCAAAGGAGAGCTCTGGTCCCACACCTTGCTATAAGCGTCAGAGCAAGTTGACTGCATGAAGCTGCCTCAATCTGCAAACAGTTGAATTTTGGAGCTGGAAAGCCTGCTGTCAGTAACTTGGTTCATCCAGATCATCGTCGCTCCAATCAGGAGGGGCATCTGTTCCAAAATACCGGTCACCGAAGTTACCTGAAGAACAGGCAAGATATGAATTTTAACATGGATATAGATAAAAAGAACAAGAATGGCAACAAACGTCTGATGGCCTGTAAGACAATCTAGCTTGTCTGGTTCCTAATAACTGATTAATTCCAGACATCCACAACCCTTCAATTACAGAAATGCCTCTGCTTCTCAGTTTAAAATGCACTGCCCTCGTATCCACTGTGATCTTCAATGATGTACAAACCACATGATATTAAGACTTTTTTAGGAATTTTCATATACAATACTAACCTATCCCTGGGATGATGTGAAAGAGGTCATTGACTTTCTTGTCAACAGCGGTGGTGATAATCTTGACCTGAGGGAAGGCGTAGGCCACTGAATGAACTCCCATCTCAGCCATCAGCAGGGACACCAGGAAGATCTTATCCTCCTGAACATCATGGTCCTGCACATACAAGACAACAGTACAGCCAACCTGAGAGAGACTGAAGTTCGTCTGTGAGAAGATTCTGACCACTTGCTTGACCAACTGCTTAGACAGCAATTCCTCTTCATTCCTTATTTTTCCCTTGATATATACTCACCAGCAAGACTCGTACTGCCATCATAGCAGCTGCTCCTGTAGAAACGGTGCAGTCCATCAGAATCACATGGTCCTCACTGATATCCTTTGGAAGCCTAAGGTAGTGCAACTGAGAAAATAGTGAGATTTAGGAACTGAGTGAGCTGAAGAACTGCACCTGCTACACTACACCAATAAGAAAATACATCAGAATTTTCCGAAACTTAAAATAATTTCTATAATATGTTCTTAGTGTCTTACCAAGAGTTTCATGTATTTGATATTTTTATTGCTAAAAATATAAATCTTTGTCTAAAATTTATAAAGTTATAGTGAATAGCATAAACAATATTTTGTATAAGGGAATGATTTTAATAGTTAATGACATATAACATGCAGATTTGTGTATATGCGTATTTTTTTAAATAAACCTGCCATTGTCCTGAAGGTTATTCCCAATTCAATTTTGGCTACATTTTGAGAGGCACACCTCTGGTTCTCCTGTGTCCTGGTTGGTCTGAATGAGGATCTTCCCAATTCGCACATCTTTACACACAGCTCTGAGGGCGGGCTCCATTGTCTCCCCCGCACGGAGGATCGAGACCCCTGTGATCTAGACACAACGCCCTGGTTTTACAGTCAGCAACCCACAAACTGTCATGCATGCAATACTGAACACTGATGATAGCATTAGCGCCCTTTTATCTTGCTCCTTAATACCCATTCAGGTACCCATTTAGCTGGTTCTTAAAAAAAACGCCAGTAAGATTCAAACACTGCTTGGTGACTTTATTAAATATCTACTATTTTGTAAAAGGTAGAAATGCAAATATCTAAAGGTATTACCACCAGACATCTTTGAATAAGGATTCATTCATGCATTTTGACATGGTTTATAGATTAGTGAAGACAATATTTTGAAATGTCTTTAAAAACAGCATTGTTTCATGAGCAATGTTAAGAAAAATCCTTAGAATTATACATGTAACAAAACTGTTCTTCCCAAACTGAGCAGACAGTGTGTGTGAGATCGCAATACGGTTAGAGGGATAATATGATCTCTTTGGGCGTTTTCTCACATCCAGAGCTGTCTGTTTGATTACACAAGGGAGCAGAATGAGTCCAGTGAAACACTGAGGAGAAAGCGGGATTCTGTACTCACTCTTATGCCATGAAAAGTTCTTCCGTCATAATCCTGCCCTTGGGGCGTCTGAACTGTACAAGCCTACACGGGGTTATGAAAATCATACTCTGAATTTAAACCAAAACAGAAACCTCACTTTTCCAAAACAAGTTTTGACCTTACCACTGATATTAAATCTGTAATTGTATTTTATTTTGTAATTATTTTACTTTTTTCATTTGGTGCTTCTGTATTAGAAACTATTTTTTAAATATCACACAGTGAAGCCAGGTCATCTAAAGATCATGGAATTTGCTATACAGTAATGTATACAGTAAATGTATAACTAGGTGCTTGGAAACACAGGAGGTGGGCTTGAATTAAAAGAAGCAACACCCACCTGAAATGGCAGGAGGGAGAGAGCATGCTCAATGAGCAGCCTCATCAGCCTCTTTGAGTAAAAGATGAACTCATCCCGACTGGTCTCCTTATTTCTAAGAAAAAACACACATAGAGATGAGCTTGTGGTGATTCAGGGGAAACTAGCCAAGGCGATGGTTAAAATAAAGATAGTTATTGCCAGTTCTTTTAAAAAACATTTAGTAATATTTTTAAAAAAGAAATATATAATTACATCACCTTTTTTATTATGACCTCCTTATTATAGCAAGGCCATGCAGTACGATGGATTTCTCAATGCTACAGTAAATGTGTAGCTTGAAATGTCTAAATATTAAAAAGCAATCTATAATTTTCAGTGAGCAAAAAACATTCATTTTCTTGAGCTACATTTGCAGATACTGTTTTTTTTTTTTGGGTCCAAACCAAGAAGCTATGCATGCCCTCATTTCGGAAGTAGGCCAAATCTCATGCTGCTGTCCACTTGCGGAGAATGACATATAACATTCTGTAAGGCACCCAGCAATCACTTCTGGGAAAGGCAACTGTTAGTCAATCACTTTGTGCATTCATAAATAATGCAAAAGATGTTAGTCTTTCTAAGTGTAATACGGTGATCATTTTTATTATATTTGTCATGAATGTTTCTAAAGCAAAGCACTTAGGGATGCCTTCTCTTATGAACATAATTTACGTTGGTATACAGTACATATAGGCTTTACACATGGCTGTGGGCCTGGAGATAAAAGACCTTGCAGTTATTTTCAGTCTACACTATCATATGTAAAAGGTCACAGATTGCTTTGCGATAGGTTTCTTTTGAGATTTTCCACTGTCTGCCCTGGGAAAGTGCAGCAGGGCTGAGACAGGCTTGGTGGTCTCACCTGATGATGGTGTGCATGCCTTTGACCTGTGGAGTGCTCTCCAGAACGCTGAGGGTCTCTGGCAGAGGCTGAGACTGGTGTGCCGAAGCCAGCGCTGCCCTGTAACACCACAGTACAATCCGGGCTCAGTCAAGTCACCGAACACTCTTACTAACACATAACCATAGAAGGCTCAGAAAATCAAACCAATGAACACTGCATGAAATACAATTACCAATACTCATCTGAAATTACAGAATGCATGTGCTAGCAGACTAAAATACAAATAAATATATATAGAAATAAAGGATGTAAATATAAAATTAAACAAAAATAGTTATGTACTAAAAAAAAGTTATGGAAATGCATTTTTGCATCTTCACCCAGTAAGTGAAAGAAGCTAAAATAAAAATTTTCAAAAAGAAAATAGATTTACACTCCCAGGAATAAAATGCAGAAATAACAACAGCAAGAATAAAACTGTTAGTTGAAAAACTGAGGTCACAAGACACACTGCAAGAAGCGTTATTTCAGAGTTCTAATCACACAATATACAAAGTGCACATACTGTAAAAGTGTGACTGATGTGGAAATGCACTATTCATTCTAATGACTATTATAAATTAAAAATATAATTGCAATGCCATAATTGTAGTGCCACATATGAAACCCAAATTGTTGTAACATTAACTCATTTACAGTACATACAGTACAAGCTGTGTGTGTATCAGCACAAATAAACACATACAATAGACAAGCTACTGAGAAGATGACAATTTCTCTTACTACAGAAAAATGAAATGATAATATTATAGATCTTATTTAAGTGGAAGAGAAGTGGTGTGCGTGTTGGGGGTGGCACATTGTTTAGCACCAATGTGTAAAAAGTGAGCTTCATTAAGCAAAACTGTGTGCAAAAAATCATTGAGGTGAGGAAAAGAATGTGAAATGATTATTGTGAAGGAATATCGACTGATTTGCTCAAAGCGGGGAAGACAGAAGGACAAATCATGGATGTATGACAAACAGTAAAGCAGCAGTTACAATGAAGGTGCAAAATTACACTGCCTTTTTCCCCCCCCAACACAAAATGCAAGGTCCTTCCAAAGAGTAAAAACAAGTCAAAATTTCTGTTATTTCAAATGCAAAATAAGTCAAACGATACTGAATTCAGGTGTGCACAGCTCTAATCCTTTCAAAACTTTGTACGATCTTTTCAATATCCATTACACCAGATACATTGTTTATTTGGATTCCTAATGCTGCTGTGCAGAATTAAAAAAAAAAAAAACGTTTTGTGATGTATGACCACTATAGATCAATGTTATGAAAGTTGCTGTAAAAGTGTGCTGGATTTTCTGCTCTCATGTGAATTGGGCCCGCGACTGGGACTTGAAGGAATGGAGCTGTGCAATCTGAGTTGTAATATTCTACCCTGAGCCACATTCTCACACACAGCAGAGACTTTTCATCTCTCAAGGTTTGACAAGACACTGAAAACTCAAATACAAATTCTTCTCACATATCCCAGCGCAGTTTCCTCTTTGGATAAGGGTGGTTTATTCAGAGCAGAAGGGTGGAAGGAATCACAGAATAACCACAAGAAAAGAAAACAAAAAAAACATACAAACAAAACATCAAATGTATGAGTATTAAAGTTATCAGGTTATCAAAGTGTGTGACAACACATACACTGTGCACCCTTGGTAGAACACTTTCACAGAAAAACAGAACACTGCTATATTTTATTATTTTAAGAAACACAATTTAGATAAAGTCATGCGTGTCTTCCAATTTATAACATTTTTAAACAATTTAATCTGCAATTATGCATTTAGCTACTTACACATTCTTTTTCTAAAAAAGTCTGTTTCCACTCTGATTGAAATATTCAGCTGTAAAGCCTTTCTTTTCAAGAGTGCTTAGCGTGTATTCAGATTGTCACTCACTGTTAATGTAATGTTTAGCTGAAGCTTTAGGCCTTGATACTTCCTGTGTCTAAAGCAAGTAGTGGGTTTCCTTTCTGTACTCTATTGCGGCCAACCAGCTAATGGAAAATTGAACAGTGCCCCCGTCTATCGTGAAAACACATCTTACATGCTGGAAACTTTATAGCTAGTAAGACACAAAATTCAACAACTGCTACATAGAAGGAGAAGACTGAGGGTCAAGCCAGCGTCAAAGAACAGAAGGTAATATTTTTAGACACAGAAAGCTAGAGGAAAAGATTATTTTTTTCTCAGACATAATCTAAGACATTCTTAATCATTCAAACTCCTGCACTTAGTTCACAGTTTTTATTAATGCAGCAGTTAATCTTCGTCAGGTGATTCCCAGCTGACAAATTGACCACCTAGCATTTCCAATTATAAATTTATTTTTCACTAGTTTTTATGAAAAGATTACAAATACACATTACATAAGAATGGATAAGTATAGTATGTAGGTTATTGCATGGAAAAATGCCAGATATTTAATGTAAAACATCCTATCATCCTATCTACAGTATTGCTGTACAGGAGTAACATGTTAATATGGCTTAAGTTCTAAAATCAATGATCAAATTCAAACTTTTAGGTTTGACTCCAGACACAGAGAGCCTGTATCATTTAAGTGCAGCAGTTTATTCAGATAAGAACATGCCTTGGTCTTGAATAAATGAAACAGTGTGTTACTCTACCTGACGCTGAGCTCACGCTGTGCAGGTTACAGTGAGAATGCAGTCCATGTAATGCAATGCCAATATCATAATCACAAAGGAAAAAGATTAGAAAATGAACTTCTTTTCCTATTTATTAGTAATAACAAACACCGTGCAATTACTGATTAGAGCATGTTTTCATTTTGCTAAGAGCCAACATAATAATCAATCTTATTAAAAGACAGGTTCTTTGACAGACGTCACATCTGAAATTTCACTCCAGAAAATGACCACCAAATACATAAAAAATCATACGATGGTCTCTGTCAACATTACTAAAAAGCAATCTGTACTTTAAAAAGATTACTTCCACTAGGTGGTGCCAAACAAAGCTTGCTTAGCCTTAGATATTGTTTAGTCAAGTGCATCAATTGAAATAAAAACCTGTAAATGTTGAATTAGAATGGTATTTGATAATGTTGACACATAGCAAAATGTATATTTTGCAATACCAAGAGCAGGGGTGACCAAACAGCTTTCAGTGAAAATAAATGAACTACAGTAGGTCTAAATGGTCAGACAGTATAGCGTTTGAAAAAGACAGTCTAATCAGTTGTATTGTTCTTTGTTTGTTTTAAAGGACGATATTTGTATTTGCTTTCACATAATCAATATGCTTATTTTCCAAAAATGAAAACAGCCTTGGACCCCCTGATTGCATCACAAAGTGTTAAATGGCCCAAAACAGTACACAATTTGAACAACAGCAGAAACCAATAAAAAAACCAGTATCCCTTTTATAAGTACTACTATTAGTACTGACATTTCTAAATCTATCATTTTCATTTTATATTCCTTAACACAGTGCATACTCTTTAAGTAGTAATGTATTATGTCACACTAGTTTGAAATTAAAAATGATGGAATTATCAAATACCTAATAGGAATTCATGTATGGAGTGAACAACTGTCACTGAAACTATTCTTCAATGAAATTATAACATGGGAATCTATATGGAGTTTACATTACCTTATGTAAACTAAGAAGAACAAAAGAGTGGAGTAATAATTGAAGGACCACTTTCAAACTGATTAGGATAAATAATTTATGAACATTTTAAAAACTACACATTTAAGGGGTATAACTGTAACATCTATGCAATATATTGATATCACAGGATACTGCATTTATTAGTTTCAGACAATGCATTAATAGAAAGGGGCAGTCTTTCACAACATCAGCCATCTTCCACGTGACAGATTTAAACCCAGTTACAGACCACAAGTTCTTACGGTTCGATTTTCATTGTGCTGCCAAATTATAACTGAGTAAGTAACAACCCTTCATTCTCCACATGTAGAAAACAAGTTACGGTTTGCCAAATGTCATGTTATTTGATTAAAATAGGCTCTTGCAAGTTACAACACACATAATAGACAACATGAAGCAAATATTTTAGGTGACTGGAAATACATTGATACCAACACATGAAAACTCTGAAATGAATTAAACATAGCTGTGCCTTTCTAAAAATCGTTTTAAAAGGAAATAATACTGATGCCAGCAGAGCTAGATTTTCACTTGTTCTTGGAAAGAGTTCATTTTAAAGAAATGCCTATTAAAGAAATGAGGCATACCTGAACTATTTAAACTCTACAAATAAGATTTCATTGTCAGTTATAAAACAATTGACTTCTTGCACAGAAACTTCCAGAATACAGCACAGCTGTTTCTGTAATAATGAAATTAATTTTATAGTGTGCTTTTCATATTACAAATATCCCCCAAAGGCCTGTACAGAAATCTACATCTATATTGAAATACTACTGTTCAATGTAATAAAATATTAAGCACTGCTTGGCATACCAAAAGCAGCAATATTTTATATGTCTTTCCATATAAATCAGAGCTATGGAATCTGTATGGTATTTCCTGGCACCTTTTTAGGTATTAAAGCACACACACTTACCTCCTCAAGCTGACTGTGAACGTGCTGAACTATGAGATCAATAGCTACCATGTTCCCTCCACCTGGAAGAGTTACAGTAAATTTTAATTTTTAAACAAAAAGACAAAAATAAAAACAACACAACGTCCTCCACACATTTGCATTTGAACACAGTAGGTTTGTCACTCAGGTTAACACGAAAAATGACTAAAAAATAATATGATCAATTAGAAAATGACTCAAGTCCAGCAAACAAAATGAAATATTTTTGCATCATCTCAAGCTCAAAATGAAAGTGCATTACACTGCAGTTAATACAAACATGGACTGTGTTTCTTTACTTAGAAAAGGCCTTTTCTGAATGGTCCAGATTTTGAAACAACAACAATCCAAAGAATTTAAGCGTGCTTTATTGATGAGGAAATGGAAGACCTACATGTGAAAAACAGATCCTTTTAAAAAGTTGGTGGAAAGAACAACTTTGAAATGTGAATCAGTTTGTACCCCTTGGGACGACTATATCAGCCAGACGCATAGTGGGTTCAATGTACTGCTCAAAGGCAGGCTTCACAAACTTGTTGTACTGTTTGATGACGCCCTCAATGTCACGCCCACGCTCAGTTATGTCTCTGCGTAGGCGACGCACCAGACGGATATCAGAATCTGTATCAACAAAGATCTTCATGTCTAAAAGCTGAAACAAACAGAAAATAGTGTAAGGTTACGTGTTGCCAATTGGTACTTTGCATCCGGCTTGAAGCGTGATGGAAAAACGTTACAACGCTCTAGAAAAATGGACAAACCCATTCCTTCGCACTTACATAACTCTTTACAAACCAAACCAAAACTGATGACTGAGAAAATGCCCCGATATAATATCACGATATAATTACACACTAATAGAATCACTTTCTACTCATACTTGTTAGTTAAAAAGTTCAAATATTGTTAATAGTACCCCTGCAAAGAGGCAGAGGGGGGATATTTAAGGAAACTGGAGAAAATGAGACACAAAATAATGAATACTTACCTTTAACAGTTCTTTGTCTGCAAAAGACATAATGCCCTCAAAAATAATAACACTGGCCCCATAAACAGTTTTCTGGAAAAAAACAAACTTTGTGAGTGTTTAAATGTCACAGATAATTAATTTACATCTCCAGCTAATAGGCCATTATATTATATATTTAATATTATATTATATTACATTAAATCTTAATATTTTGTAAATAAGCAATTATCCAGACAACAGCTTAGAAGAATATGGATTCTGACAGAAATCAGAGCTTCACATCAGAATATACAGAAATGTACTCTCTTAAAAATCCTTAACAAGATTAGCCTTAAATGCTCAAATGTGCTGGTGTGCAATTACCTAGTCTTTTCTATTAATGAGATACTGCCAAATGGAAATCTGCCTTTTGGTTCAGGTGTAGCCCTTGCTAGTACAGGTGACTGAAAGATTTGTTTCTAGTTCAATTAAAAGACATAGCTTTGGTTTACATACTCCACCAAAGCATGAGCCTTTAAATACCAAGGGCCTCAGGTTGTAGGTTTAGTTCCAGGTCAGAGGTTAACTGGGTGTGCTCATGTCCTTACCCATTCCTTCTGCCTGCCGTGTGTGGTGAAGTCATATACAGGGATCTTCACACTCTTGCCCTGTTTCAGTTTCCTCAGCGTGTACACCAGTAAGGAGAAGTCAAAAGCATCTGGGTGGTCGAAATTGTAGTCGTTACTGGCAGCCAGCTGCTGCTCTTCTGGAGAGAGAACCTGAGGGGAATATGCACACAAGTCACTGCCCTGTGAATGGAATACGCCTCTTCCAGCAGTCCAGGCTGGTCCCATTAAGCAGGTGTGCCAGAATTTAGATCAGCCCTCCTTGGAAACGGGTAGGCCTCAGATTACACTGTTTTCATGACTTTTGTCAACACTGAACAGGTGCCTGTTAAATAATATGCCTTAAAAAGAAAGGAACGGCCATCATAGTGCTATACAGACCTGCTGTGTGTCATGCTGAAAACAGAAATCAAGGAATAAATGTCAGACACTACCGTCATTTTTATGACATGAAAAAAAACAATGTAAAGATAGACAAGACAGAGGAGAAGGTGAAGATGTTGCTTTACAATACTCCTACTACATCCGGTTTTGCAATTTTATTTTAAGGTTAAAGTCCTCATCCATTCAGCATATAAACACGTCTTTGTTCACATTTCTTCGTTTTGCTAACCAGGCTGAAGATGAGGAACTCGTAGGCTGCAAGACCAAAAGAGCTGCAGGAAACTCTAATCATTGATTAGATTCAGCTATGCCACAGAGTTTAACACCTTCACTTAATTTTTTATTTAACACAAAAAACACCAAGCAGTAAAAAAAACTGTTTTTAAATTACCTGACTTTAATCAGTTAACAAAAGCAAGCCAAGTGGTGGTTCCAAATAAATATAATTAGTTTTTACAACCAGATATTTGTTTCTGAGACTTATATCTAACTAAGGCTTTCTTCTTTCTCAATTAGAAGAACACCAGAAAGAAACAATACAATATTTGATAAAAAGGTTTTTAGAATACTCTTCTAACAGGTTATTTAAGCACTACTTTTTAATCTTAAACTTGATCTGCATGGAGCAGCGTTTACATACTGTAACTCATTGACAACTGACATTGAAATAGTTTAGTTTTTAATCTTCATGTTTTAAAGACCATCAGCCTTCACCAAGTATTCCAAATGTTTGACTGATAGTGAAACTTTCTTTTCACCAATAAACTATACACACTATATCTATTTATACTTTTCATACCTTTAACCTTCCTATGAAGTACTTGTCATTATGTATTTCCCACAAAAGGGAGTAAAATGAGAGGCATCCATTTCTTTACTCAAACAATAACTCAAAACATTACAAATGAAACAAATTTGATATATAATAGTGCAATATCAGTACCAGTGCACCAGATGGGGCCAGTGAGATACTGGCTAATTTGAGATACAGAAAGTGTCTGAAAGGGGGAGGTGTTATTGTGAACTAGGATCGCTTTCATGACTTACTCACACAGCACCCTGGTCCCTGGCTTTACTGAGAAGGATTACACAACCTGAAAGCATTTGTTTAAAGGGGTGACATGCTATTAGTACAAAGGATTTAGTTCACAGTAGCTTTTACAAGTTAATACACCTACACCTAGGGCTTCCCAGCAAAAAATTGATTTTACAATACTAATTACTTTGACATGGTCAAGAAAGAAATTTAAATGATTTTCTGTGTGCAGAAGGGGGATGAGAAGTGTTTCTCTCTCAATAATCCGAAATCTGGATCTGGACTGCCACTTGTTCCCTTACAGAGCATTCCTATTCAATCCCATTAACATGCTCTCTCTGCTTTCCAGCTTTGCATCACAGAGGCTATAAATGAACATCAACATACCAGATTAAGTGTCTTTCTATTAAGCATTGTCCTGACTGGCCTGGAGATCTGAAAGCAGGTTGAATACAAACACCATTTTTTTCGAGGCCACTCACAACTCACAAATCCCTAAATCCTTTGAGTTCTGATGGTACACAGCAGTGATCACGTGTGCTATTTAATAAATGGAGTCCCTCCTGGATCTTTCAACAAACACCAGTAGGCAAAAAACGTCACATGCGTGGGTCTCACAATCTCAGCCCAGATAAGGTTGTTAATAGTGTAGAATGAGATCAGAGAGCGCTGACTGTAGACTTTTCTCAGTCCGGTGCTGTCGGTACGGTACATGTGCTTCAACCCTCACCTTATAAAAGGAATCCATAGAAAGAAGGACGACCCAGGGCACATCCAAAGCTTCGATGATCTTCCTGGCCACTGTTGTCTTCCCAGAGGCACTGCCACCACACAGTCCTGTGCACATTCGGGAAATGTTTGAGAACAGAACATCTTTCCAACAAAGCAAATCATAAAATAAATTATAAAATAAACTGTATTTGTAAAAATACTAAACCCTGGGAAAACCTCAAGAGGCGGTGATGGCATATTCCCAATAACCACACTCACAACAGCTGGCTGAAAAATGTGAAATAGATCATTTGAATAGGAAATGGGAAAGCCTTTGGAAGAAGGCTCTTTGTAAATCAGTCACTTATTATCTAAGGTGAAAGTTATATGCCCACCATCATGGCAAAGCAAGACAAGAGTCAAGAGGAAATCAGGTGAACCAATATTGTTCCTGGGAGGGGATGTTTATCTATTGGGTTTGTTATCAGCTTATTAAGGGCTAATGACAAACATTTTTAAATACATTTTGAAAAATAAAAGGGTCAATGCTGAATGCCAGATAACACTGTATGTCCTTTTCATTTTCTAACGGTTCATTATACTATGATGTTGACCTTTCTGCCCGAGTTGTACAAATGGGAACATTCATACTGAAGAGGAAGTCATAACAGTAGTATCTGTTGTGGAGCAGGTGACACTTACCGATTACAAAAGCTTCTTTTGACTGTGTACCATGTTCGTTATACCAAGGTGGCCTCCCTGCGGTATAAATAGTCCTTTTGCTTGTTCTGAGTAAAGGTGGCTCAGACTTGCACTGGCTTGTGGTTCTCTTCCGCGGAGAAAGAGTTGTGTTCACAGGAGGGAGAAGCCTGTCTAGAGAATCTTCACTGCTGCCGCTGGAATGAAGACAATAAATCAGAAAAAGACGTTTTTCTGTCAAGTTCTCTTCCATAGCTGAAGCAGCAGTGGTAAAACTCAGATTTATTTTAGAGTATCAGCATTATAGCGCATCTGTTGCTCTTTTCATGTTTTATTAGAAAACTAGTACATTTCGACTATGAGGTCTTCTTCAGATTAAAAAAATCAGTGATCAGACAAATCTTCTGTCAAAATAACAAGACTCAAAATTACCCAAATCAGACACAAAGTTGGTTGCATTTCCATATAATAATCATTGTCGATTTGTGCAATATTTCACCCCAATCCAAGGAAAATAAATTACAGTATGTATTACTCATTTATCAGTCACAACAACACAAAATGAACATAAAATGCATCAAACACTATAGTACAGCAAACCAGTTTATTTTATATTTTCCAATACACCTCAGTGTGAATATAAAATGTAATTTAATTAATACTATGGAAGGCCACCTAAACTGTTTAACCAGTAAGGGCACTAACTAAAAAAAAACAGGCTTGAGTTCTATACAAAGTTCTGTATTGGGTTTGGTCTAAGTCATTTAACAGGTTTCCCAGGCCTGATTATGGAATACATCAGCTTCATCTGCTTTCATTCCATTTGATTTTTTTCTTCTGAAACTAAGCTTAATCTATCCGGTTTTAAAAAACAGTGTCTGCTCTTAACCAGTGACAGAATGTAAATGTCAGTAAATAACATTTACATCAGAATTCACTTCAACTTGTTTTATTATTTCAAGGTGGAATTTCAGTGTTACGAATGCTCAGATGTAACTGCTCTTTGTCATTCCCAACAGTATCTATACATCTTTAGTTGAGAAGAAGAAGAGAGCTACCGGAAAGGAACAAACTGAAAACAGAGCTCTCCTGAATTATTTCTGGGAAACAGTACACCTAAAGAAGATTCTTTTTGAAATTGTGACCTGAACGGAGAGATGGAATAAAAATTCAATATCCTGTTCAGTTAAGAGATCTGTCTTAATTACTCAAGAACTCAGCCTGAACAAACTCCGGGACAAGGAGCACTGTTTTTTGTGGTTATATCTGAAATACCACACAGTATTAAATCATCCTCTATACGTTAACACCCATTAATACAAATCTCTTTATTACTCACTGCTAAGTAGATTAAAATGCAGGTCATTTATATTCAACCTTACAATGCCTCTCCAAAGACTACTTTTATATACTCCTTTCTTGTACAATTTAAGTTTTTATTACTACTTAGAAATTTACTACACTCAGAACATATGTGATAATATAATAATGCTGATGATCAATGCTGAAACTAAGGCAGGCCAAAAATACCATACCAAACAGACAAATCAACTGAATGCGAAATTCAAGCACTGAGCCGCACAACTACCTAAATTTATAATTTTAAATTTGTGTAATTAATTTGAGATGTATTAGCACTGTATTTCCTTCAATGCACCACCCCTTAGAAGTGAAATAAACCATAATTACTAAACAATCACAACATTTTCCTGAAAAAAAATCTCCTGTTTAACAAGGACATAAAAACAAAAGCACACCGTGAAAAGGGACAGACATAAATTAGGTTCAAGTTAAAAAGGTTTGGAGATGAGAAATTGAGTCCATTTGTTAAAGAGGTATTCTAACTGCAAATGAGGGGAAAAAGGAGTCATTTTTAGTAATACATAAGGAGCAATTAACTTTTCAATTGTAAAAAGATTTTTATTTTTTTAAGTAAAATACTGTAGTATAAGTAAAAATGTAGTTTACAGGGACATCAGATGATTAAAACATTTTAACCCTGTATAGGCTACAAAAAATAAAAGAATATATAATAATAAAATAAAAAGAAATTATTTAATAATTTGGGTCACAACAGTGTAATTCTATGAAGATACTAAGTGGAAAATACCTAGAAAAGTATTCTACTAAAGTAGCCACTATCATATTAGTCACCACACAATGTGGTACTGTGTTAATCACGATAATTACTAATGCACAGTACATTATAAAGCACATAGAAATATTATGTGTTAAGTAAAAAGCTGCTTCTGTGTGAAACACCTTAAATACCAAATAATATCAAAACAAAGGGCTAAAAAGTGAACAAGTAAAAGCAGTCTATTTGTTCTGTTTCTGTAATGATTTCAGAAGGGTCAAAATTAGCCTTCCTATGGAAATCTCCCCCTGCCTGTATCAATCTGCATAAGAGTTGCATTCATGTGTTGAAAGTCTTAGTCTGAGCAAATTCTCTTGCTACTAGGAAAATGAGACACCTGGTGACTGTAAACAAGAAAACACTTTTTCAACATACAGCAATAACCACGTACGTATCCAAGGGAAATGTTTTTTGTCTCGGTAAAGTTAGAAGAAAAAATAGTAGGTCTTGCTTACAACTTTGTAAGAAGAATTTGAAAATAATATAATTAATATGGTAGACCCTAATTTGTTTTGAGATTATATCTATAATAATTAGTGAAGTAACAGCAGTGCAGTCAGATTACGTTCTGTAATTCTGTAAGAGAAAAAGTTCACCTTTAAAAATCCAATTTTTCATTCACCTAATTTGCTATATATGAATACTGCTATTCCAAAAAAGTGGCAGCATTTTCAGCTTTGCTTGCATTTCAGGCAGAAACCTCATTAAAGAGCAGCCAACAATCAAACATGTATAGTTGCACTACTGTATATAAATATAACTGTCAAAACAGAAACAGTATTACTTAAAAGCTTTAGGTGGTCTCTATCACAAATTCAGAACTCCATTGACTATATTTTGATTTCTAAATCTTTCAACAGTTTTTTAAGCCAAAACTTTGGCTCTGATTTAAAACTGTATGTTTTAATACTGAAACCATGATCCACTCTGGTCCATCCATGATCAGGTAACTGCATTCTGATTTCTTTTCTCATAAGTAGCTTTATAAACTGTGAAATGGAGCAACAGCTTCAAATGTAAAACAGGGAGATTGTTTTTCCAAGTTCCATTCTTCCATCATTTTATTTCTTACATCTCTCCCAGCTGGACATTCCTGTTTTTACTGGTCACGAACCCGGACAGTCTTCAATAGCAACTACAAAATTCCTCTTTCACTGTCATCTGCCAGGGTTATTTATACTGATGTTCCCTTCTACAAATCAAGGCTTCCCTCTAATTAAAAAAAATACAGTCGGCAGATATATTGGAGATGATCTTTTAAAAAAAACATCTCACTATAGATACTACACAAAATTTTCGAAAACAATATATACATACTGTACAATACAGTAAATAATGAGCAACCAAACATGAAGGAAGTAAAAAAAAACAAGCTTACCTGCCATCGGACCTGAGAGCCCAACAGCCAGATATTCTGGCACCGGAGCACGATGGGAGAGTATTCATATTTAACACGACAAACAGAATTATTGTCACTTGAAATAAGTGCTTTATAGTCACTGCAAATTGGCATATAATAAGAATGTGCACTCAGTCTTAGTCACGTTTTCTTCCCTAGGGCAAGGTACTGGAGTGACATAGTGGGGGAAAAGCAAAACTATACGTTTAACATTTGTTTGGCTTTCTCTTCACTTCTTTCACTGCTGTGGGGCTGGATAAGAACATTAGAAATGAAACTGCAATGGCTTTTCGATCTCAACTCTACCAACAAACATAAGCGGATAACTTATCCTACAGATTATGTTCGTTACATGTTATTAATAGCAGCAGGTTCGTAAGAGACCTGCCCCCCCTTCACCCCATCCCACTCCACCATTCATCCACCCTCCCCTCTCTTCAACAGGCCTGTTTTGGAGCAGGCCTGTCATCTGTCTCTGACATTTAGTATCGCAATTTTTCACCAGAGGGGGCAAGTGTTCCTGCAAGGACAATTCAGGAGTGGGGGTGCTGTTCTTCTTCTCTCCTGTTTCTCCTCTCTCTCCGCTAAAACAGAAAGTGAAAAGGCACCAGCGGCGCAGATGTTTTATCCAAGTCTCGGACTTTGCAATGTGTCCTGTGTGCCTGACAAGGAGATGGCACTTGAAAGCCTGCTGCCTCTTCAAATTCACGCCTGGCTTTTTTTGCTCCGTTCTTGGGTGATATGCATAAACAAATTGCTGAAACCCAACCCCTCCCCAGCTGACTGCTATTTTCCCCAAGGCCAGTGTGCAACAGCACTGTTCCTATACCTTGTCAAGCTCCTGTTTTCCAGCTCCTGCTTTTAAAAGACACTTATTAAGCAACAGGTGACGTGCAGGCTGAACTGTGTGTGGTGAACAGCCCTTTCGGCACCAAAAGGATATTTTCATACTGGCAGTTTCTCTTAGTTACTAAACAAATACCTGTTGGACCTGATAATTACACAAGGAATTGTGCCTCCAGTTCCATTTCTCCATCCAAACAAATATGACAAGCCCCTCCTATTTTCCTTATTGTCTGACCTCTACACACAAAAGGTAGTTTTCAGGGCTTTTAGTAACAGACAACATGCTAGGTTCCCTATTGTACTGATGGAGTTAAGGTCATTCAGTTCAGCAGTCTCTTTCAATCTTGCAATCCCAACTGCACCTATATACAGTAGGTAGTGTCAGTGACTTTCTTATTCTTTAGAAATGTCATATCAACCAGTGCATCCTGATATATCTCCAAGACCCAGATAAATGTAACCTTTAATGTTCAACTTATTAGTTTATCTTAAAATTGTGTTTTTTCTTAAAAAAATGAATACAACTGTGTACATAAATTAAACCTCTGTCCTGAGGCCCTTCCTCAAAGTGAGGTTTGTTTTTGTATTGTACAATAATAATCTCTAAAATAGATACAACAGTTGTGTATTTTTTGTTTTTTGCTTTATGTATTATATAGTTTATTAATCTGTTAAGGTCAGATTTCTCCTAAAGCCCAAAGAAGCCCATGAAGTATATAAATTCTAGTTCGCAACTCCCTCTTGTGGTTCCCATAGAAATAAGGAAACATGCTTGGATTAGGTTGCACTTGTGGTAGTTTGTCATAGGCTGTCAGGTCATGCTGTATATTTAACAATTTATATCTGGACAACAATCTGACTGTTTCACTCTCGCTAAAATACAAATGCATCCAAACTGTGATTAAAAAAGGACAATAGAGCTTTTTCCCTTTATATTTTATACAGCACTTAGTTGGTTTTGTCCTAATTTATTATAAGTAATTTACTCTCATTGTCTCAAGTCTGGGTTTTCCCCTAATCCAGTCAGTATGCATTTATTCAGCTTTACCATGAACTGACTCATGCACTCTAATAAAACTTCTCAATTCGCTCCATTTTATTGTGCTTTAAATATTTTATAGCTTAACCATTATAAGGGTTTATAACTTTTATAATAAATTTACCGAGTTTCCTTCAGACATGACACAAGATTTACAATTACTACCATTGCTGGTGATGATACTAATTGGAATAATACGTAACCAAACGACACTATAGGGAACTAAAAAAAAAAGGCAAATACATTTAGTAGTTCTCTTAACTCTTTTAATGTCGAGTTTTTTTTTTAGATAAAACCACGCTTCTACAGCAATAGAAAATAATTTAGGATAGTTGTTTTAAACAAAAAAAAAACCAAGTATTGATTTATGAAGCTAAATTTAGAACACCTCCCATTGAAACATTAACAGGTTGTTCCTTAAAATGACATGCTAGATCGACCAGCGTTTTTGCAACCTTTTAGTGATGCCGTGGTGAAGTAAATGTGCCATTCGGAACACGAATATGAAAAAAAGAATTACCTCATTTCTAAAACTGTCAGAGAATGTTCTAGTTGTAAACTGTGAAAACCCTACGGTTCAAGGTCCAAAGGGAAGGTGAGGTTTAAGTTAACATTCAAATACTAAGTAGGTGGCCAAGATCGGTTTAATCTATTCATCTATTAATCCATTCATTTAGTCCGTAAAAGACAGTATATCGCGCTATAAAATGACTTCCTGTGTTCGAAAGCGACACCATGTGTTTCGGGTCTCTGTGCTTCGTGGTAACCATGATGACAAACCGCGTCAGGTCATTGAAATCGGCGTTGCTTTTGCGTTAAACAAGCGAAGGCTAATCAAATCCACATGCCGCTTAGGGCACACGTTCAGACGAAACAGAAAACGCACAAACCACCCACTTTACCTGTCCGACAGCGAGGATCCCTTGTTCACGCTTTCCATATCTGAGACCCCTGCCTTTCTGTACGCGGTAGACATTGTTATTCTTCTTTTGACAATCAGCTGTAGTGGGAAGCTGCTCAGTTTGCACGCTGGAAAATGTAGTTCGGCTAACTAGTTGCACCGTATCGTATGTGTTGCCAACAGCAGGAATGGTCTACAAGTCCCACAATTCACATGGGCCTATTATTCCGGTCTATTTTTTTTTTTTGGTTTGGTGAAGATAAGTTCATATAAGGGTAGGTTTTTAAAACTAGAAACTACCCTTCCGGTTTTTTTTTCATCGTGCCAACTAAAGAAATAGAACTATGAAGTTGGAGGCACCATTACGTCAGCCGTTAGTTGCATACCGCTTGTAAACCTTGGATTGCCGAGTACTTAAACAGTAAGAACGTAACTTAGTTTATCAGTGCATGCGAATTATTATAAATACATTCAGAATTTCACACAGCGAATGCTATGATCTCGATAAATTTGTTTTGTGTTTGCTTCACATGTGCTACAGTATATAGGTAAAATGCAAAGATATAGATAAAAATCAAAGATTTATTCAACAACAGTTTTATTAATTAGATGAAGAGTAATGCACAATTAATACAACAATTTGTAAAATTTAACAGTTCTGATTAAGCAATAGTGCAGTACACCCCTTTTAATAGGCTTCAGATAAGAATAACTGCAACAGAGAAACAAAATAAGCTTTAACAATTCCTTAGTTTATTACTGTAAACTTGCTACTCTCTGGATAGATAAAAGGAAAATAGTTCCTTCACAGTTTCTAAAAAAGATATACTGGAGATGTTTTGCTTTCCTCTTCTCTAACTTCTCAGTCCCAGATGCTCTACAGATCTGCTTGGAAAAAACCGCCCACCAGAATTCCGAGTTGCACTTCGTGAGAATTTCAACTCTTCAGGTAAAACTAAAGTGAATAAACTGTAAATGTAGCAATGAGAGCACGCCATAGATCCCCACTGACCCTAAAATCTAGTCACAATGTCGTGGTCAATGGGGATTTGAATATCTCTGTAAAAAATATCTAACGGGGATAGTGCACTTTTGAGATACAATGAAAGGACAAAACCAGAATATCCTTTCCTACGAAAGTTTAAGTCTTCTAAAAAGAAGTGTACATTTAAGTTGTAGAAAAACGTTACAACACAAAAACAAATGAAGTCAAGGAGTAATAAAACCAGCATCATTATATGTGTAATGCTAGTTATTAAAATGAATTAAGCCAGAACATTCTTGAAAGCTGATTTTAATGTTTATTACTCTAGTTGCAAACTCTTTTAATGCATCTTGAGGTCTAATTGTACGTTCTGTACTGCATTCAAAGATGGTGCATATGTGTGTCAGGTAGTCTAGGAAGACAGGTCACAGATGCTAAGATTAAATATTTTGTTAGCACAGTGATAATGATCACATTGAAATATTTAAGACCATAAGCAAAATCCTAGAAAAGGGGAAAACATTTCTAGATACCCATATACAGTTGTATTACATTGATTTTAACTGGCTATAAAAAGTACTTTTAAGCCACGTGCACACACTTTATAAGTGGAGCTTAAATGCCTATCTTGTAACAAATGCTACAAGTATGTTACTGTATGTATAGGACTTTTAAAGTCGCAGAAAAGGATGCATTTCAACAGAAAGTAAAAACAGGGAACATTTTTAAAAATCCCGAAAATTGCACAAGTGAAGATACCCCCCTGAGCCATTGGAAATCAAGTCTGTACAATGCATCACTAAGCACGCTGTAAACAGTATCTCACAGTTCCTGATAGCCTGATTTCAGCACTGGGCCCCACTTAACAAACCAGAGCAAATGGAATAACTAAAACACATACAGTACAGGTAAGTACAGAATGTTGAGAGATTATAGTAGAAATTGAAATACCTCTGAAGCCCAATGTGTTATCATGGATGAAATCAGTAACAGGATTTTAATCTAGGATAATAAAGCATGACAGTACGGTATTAGGTAGCATCTGCCTGGTTTACAAGTGGATAAGGTATTTCATACCCTTCTCCAAAAAATTGCATTTAATGCTTCGGTGTCCAAGGCTGAATTGCTGGCCAAATGAGTAAATGTTTTCAATTTATGATGAACCATTCCTTATACTTTTTTTCCATCCTGTTGAAAACCTCCCACAGTGAAAAGGTGGTCTTCATACCACTGTGTTTAGATCAGGTATTATATGCAATAGACTTCAGTAATTAAACACATTCATTTTACAATTAGAAATGATCATGGATGGCCTGCTCATTCATACTTCTCCATTTCACTGAGCAGGAGACACTGAAGCTGTCTATCAAATAAAGCCATGCTGAGTCTAAGGAAGCACATATCTGTGATGATATGCGTCTGGCTATTTGATAATTATGAGCCATTTAATTAATTACTGCATACAGCATGCCTGTAATTTAAAAAATGACAATAGTGACTGATTTTGATTGATTGATTCTGGCCCTATCAAAGTGCTATACAACTATTAAGGTTTAAACTAGGTAGAAAAGTTGTGAGGACACCTATAATAATCAATTTGAGGTCCTTATAAGTAGACCTTGTTCAGTAACATCTTAAATACTTAAAATGCTAAATATGTGATATTTCTAAATGAGAATGTAAAACAACTTGAGACCATGATTCTGGAATGTGATCGGGAAGGAAATTAATGTAACACATGGTATCTTCATTATTTTGGTTTTATTCCTATTTTAAAATCAAATAGATGGACAAGTGATCATTTTAAAAACACAGAAGGATGATATGTGTCATAGCAATGGATTTTTTAAAAACTTATTTCATTTTTTAACTTCAAGTTTTTTTTTCCCTAAAAATATACAAGGTACAAGTTTCATTATATTAGAAACTGTTTTTTTCAGGATTTTGTCTTATACTATGGTAGTTTCAAATCTGTTATAACATAACTCTTATAAGTTATAAACTGGGAACTTATGGGCTAAAATATCTGAGCTAGACATCTTAGTCCTATAATATTCTATAAACCAGGTGTACTGTATACAGGTGTATACACCCACTTCTGAGATTCTGGATAACAATTTACCATTGAAGTGCAAGATAAAAAGGATATTTAAAGTGCAAGGCAACAAAGTTGTATAACCAGCAGTAAACTGTATCCTTCATCACAGGACAGGACATTTATTTCAGAGTGAAATTTTAGAAAGTCTTTCTCATTAGTAGTTAAAGGGGTATTCCTTTGTTTTTAAACTGATGTTATGTTAAGACAGATCACAAATTTTCCCTGGAAAAAAAAATAGCAGGACAGCAGAACAACATTCTGTATACGACAATGTATGGCAAAAAGTTTCTGCTTCACAAATGGTAAATATACTTTTGATTGTGCTGCAGATTCTAGTATTTTAACAATAAATTAATCATATATTTGCACATGGCCCCTTTGATGTACAGTATCAGAGGAAACAACTATTGTAAACTTTTAAAATTAAGCATTTGGGGGAACAATATGTTTTTAAGAGTATATATATTCTTTCAAAATCATCCTTCCATCATGTATAATAAAATCTCCTATTATTTCAATAGACTATTATTTCAATATAGTTATATAACCTATTCAAGAATTCCAGGTAGAATGAGGGGAATAGTTCTATTTATTATCTGCTTGAAACGCTTCTGTATTCTTTAAGAGAGCAGGAGTTACTGTGCAATTATAAACTTCGGCACAAGCTGGAAAAAAACATTAATATTCTGTTATATTATCAGATTTAATTAAATGTTCTTTCATTTGATCATATTTTCCAAGTACCCTGTTCTTGCTACAAAATGTCACAAACAGCAAAGCTAGTGAATCAGACTGGTTAGCAAGGAGGAAAATTGCCTTGATTTTGTAATATAATTTTGCTCAAAGAAGTAGTTGGCTATTTCCTTAGACAAACGAGGAGAAAATATTGCACTGCAGCGAACGGTTTTGAAAGGCATCCTGCCATCATCAGAGAAATAAGAATTGTTACTCTTATTGTTCAGCTGCCACTATAAGACAAAAAAATAACACACAGTAAAGACATTTTGACTTTTTGTTTGCTTTTAAAGTTCTGCCTTTAAGAATACGATGGACAAAATCTGGCTTTAAAGTACCTAAAAATACAAGAGCAGTAAATTAACTGACCATGCTAATTAAATAGCTTATACTATAGATCTTTTTAAAGCACAACATAAACCTACGTACATGTTGAGATAACACTACTCAAAATTGATTGAAATAGTAGTTTCTTTAAAAAAGAATATTTATATAAAAGGGTTTTCACCTTTGCTTACAGGTGTAAATCTCCCTTTTGTTAAGAGCCTAAGAATTAAAATGAGGTCTGAATACAGAATGAAAAAGTACTATATACCAGTATATACCAGCACACACATATACTGTATATATTTATATATAAGGTTAAAAAAACACATGGTAAATTAATATTAAATAGCGAAACAAAGTAGTTTATTTGTTATCTTTACTGTCTGGTTTCTAAAGTATTCCTTCATATCTAGAGTGAAATGCAACTGCTTGCGATTTTCTTGAAATCATCTTCCGTGCACAGTTCACTCAGGTGGCATCTTTCTGGGTTTCCCTCTTTTCTTTACAGGTGTCTTTGTTTCCCTGTGTGGGCCTGGGAGGCTTCTGTTTGCAGAAGAAGTGCTCTCTGGGGAGTCTGCATTGCTAGTCTTTGACTGAGACCTCTCCGAGTCCTTCTGTGACATTTCAGGCAATCTCTCTTTGGGCTTTCGTCCTCTCCTCTTTCCAGTTGTGCTGTTCTTTAAGTCTTTCTTTAAGCCATTATGTTGGTCTTTCCTCTTGCTGTGTGGCGTTACCTGGTTGGCCGCCCGGAACCAGTTCTGCATTGAGAAAAGAAGTAAAAAAACACTCAGAAAAAAAATAAAGATAAAATATAAAAATGGCTGATTATTACCCCAGTGAACCTGAACAAACCTGAACAAATAGTAAACTCTGCTCTTTAAGATTTACAGTTTTTCACAAAACCATAATGGAGATGTTTCACAGCATCTTAGATCCAGTTCTTGTGAGCTGAATTTCTATGAACCAGCTATGGGATTACATCACAAAGTTCACGTTATTATCTGACTGAGACTTTTTATTAAGCAGTTTATTATCTAAATCCTAAAATACTCTCTGTCCATATTTTCCTATGACACCATGGTGTCAAGGAAGTGAAGGCAAATTTAGATCTGTCTGTTATACATTGAGCCTACCTGAGAATGAGTTTTAATGATGTGGTATTTTACTCCACTTTCCGAGCTGAACTCTTTCTGGCACAGCAAGCATCGATACTTTCCAACGGCACCACCTCCCTGAAGAACACAAATAGACTGTTTCTCCTATGGTACAAGTGTAAGTACAAAAAGCTGACAATTCTGCCTTCCCTTTCACTGGTAAGTTTTGAATATACAGGGAAAGAATACATCTCTGTACACGTTTACATGAGTATGTCTAAATAAATATATCAATTACCATCACAACAAGCACATAAAATACTCATAATTACGTGAGATTACATTATTATTTCCATGTACTGTTCAAGGTAATCCATTAAGTTAAATTACTTATAAGAGTCAATCTATGCCTTTGTCATCATAGTTTGTTTAAATATGATGTTTCAAATACTATAAAAGTGTTGAGAGTTAATGGCAAACTGAAAGACAAATGATGACAATTGTATATTTTTACATTTATCTTTGAAAAGTACATACCTTATTACAGTTTGCTAAGTGGGCTTTAAGTCCTGAAACGCTTGAGTAGATAGCTTCACAGCCCTGCACACATATTATAAAGTAACAACAGTTACAGTCCTTGAACCATAAAAAACACCCTTCTAGTTTCTGTAAATATTAAGGAAGCAGTTTATCCCAGTGTTTCAAATGGTGGAATTTCCATGTGTGTTTCTGTACATGAGAAGCAGTAATGTGCATATATTCCTGAAAAAGCAGTTCTAGAAAACCAGGTTTGTGAAAAAGAGTAATAACATCAATTCCATTCATTATTCATGATAATGACATCGAATACACAAGGATATTCACTTATAATTTCACATGGAAAGGTACATTTCTCATTAAAAAGCAAACTTAAATGATCTTGTTCTATGACAGCCTCTGGATTATGTACTGTATGTAAGGCCTCAGATCTCAAATGTCCTTCATCTCCATCTGTTTAAGTACATCTTTGTTCCATAAAGGTCACAGAAGTACCTAGCGGATGCATCATTCACTCATAATGATACACGCAGCCCTACCAATTACACTTCAATGGCAATTTGGGTACATGTAATAAAACAATTTTTAAATGACCAGGCATCACAAATCACATCTGTCTTACATGGGGTTAACCCTTCCCTTTGAAGAGCTTTGCTCACACAGGGTGTCACACGTTGCACCGAGAATAATCAAATTTTCTGGTGAGCATGTTGTTTGTTCATGGAAACCTGACTTTGATTTGGCTTGAGCTAAACGCCTCAAGAAAAATTCTAACACATGGAAACAACCCCATAGTCTCATCACTGAAGAGCTACTGTACATTACATTCAAGAAGCAGAAGTATGGAACCTAATTCCTTTTTCTCCCTTTTTCCCCAAGGGGTACTAAAAATGTTCAATGTGTGCATTAAATGCATTAACAGGAAAATATGCCTAAAGAAAATATCACCAGCCCAGAAGCACACTCTACACAGCCACAATCCATGCATCCATTATCTCTGTGTGAACTGAGCCATGTACCCAACAGCTGTGAGGCAGCAATGGTAAAATATTTTACAGTAATGTGTTTCCAGCTGTGTACCTTGGTTACACTGGGCTATTAAAGAGTATGCAGTGGCAAGAAGACTATTTTGGGGGTGGTTAATTAACAAAGGAACTATTATTACAAGCAAAAACAACACTTGAGAGAGAAACAGAAAACAATCAGCCTTTTGTACAAACTGAACAAAAGGAAACAATGGTAGTGAACACTAACCAAATCTCTCATGATTTCTAAACTACACAAGCCTTGTAGATGTTATGACTTACATTGCTGGGGCAGCAAATGAATCCTTTCTCTTTGACTTCATTCTTCCAGCTTTCAAGCATCTTGGGGTTAAACTTTGGAAGCCCTGGGCGAGTATAGTTGAGCTGAAACAAGAAAAGTGATTTATCCACTTATACTAACAGTTACTGTACCTTGTGCAAGTTTGGTTTCTAAAAAAACACTGAATATGCCAGAAAGGTTAAAATACAAATAACCAACAACAGAGAGAACGGCTTTAAACATAATTAATAAATAAAATTGAGAGACTTTCAACAAAGCAGTTGCTGCCAACAAAATCGACAACACTAAACTATTATGTGAAAGTCAAATGGCACACTTAAAGATAAAGACTGATTTGGAATTTGGTACCAAGTTTATGCTGTGGATGTGGTTAACAAGAATTCCCCGTTTTAGAGTAATATGCCTCAAATAAAATTCTAACACACATGGAAACAACCCCACAGACTACTGTTTGTAGGTATTACAGCCTCATCAGTGAAGAGCTACTGTACACATAATAAGCATTAAAACTAGTAAAATGCTGTTGATTTTCTACTTTATTTCCCATGCTTTCCTATGTATCTATGTTTCATCTGTGTAATAATAATTAATAATTCTTTACACTTAAATAGTGCTGTGTACACTTATATAGCCAAAGTGCACCAGTACGCTCACCACACACACCAGCTCAGTGGGGAGGAGAGCAGAGTGATGAAGCCAATTCAGACATGGGGATTATGAGGAGCCCATGAGTGGTAAAGGCCAGGGGGGAAATTTGGCCAAGACACTGGGCTTGCATCCATATTCTTTTCGAGAAACGCCTTGGGATTTTTACTGACCACAGAGAATTGGGACCTCGGTTTTACAGTATGTACCGTTTTTATAGTACAGTGTCCCCGTCACTATACTGGGGCATTAGGACCCACACAGACCGCAGGGTGAGCGCTCCCTACTGGTCCCACTTACACCTCTTCCAGCTGCACCCTTAGCTTTTCCAGGAGATCTCCCAGCCAAGTACTGGCCAGGCTCACACCTGCTGAGCTTCAGTAGCAAATCCACTATAAGCAAATAGCAACTGCGCATAGAAAAATGCATTTCAGTTTGTCATGAGTAATGACTCTGAGCAAGCAAATCTATATATAAGACCTTATAAACTTATAACTGCTCTATAAACATTATAACAGTTACTGTACAGTACTTATGTAGGTTTTGATTCATATCACCTATCCCGGCCTGTAAATGTTCTGGTACTTCAGTGGACAAGCTTGCTATAAGAACCAGAAATCCACTTAAGACATCAAAGGAACCTGTTGTACAATCTGAACACTATCTCTTTACATGTAGTAAAAAGTATAAAAGATCTGGTAAGAAGGAAGATAATGCCTGGTGTGGAGAACAATGTAGAAGCAGCCCTGCTCCTGTGGAAATATTTTGGTGGTAGTGTGGCTTCATGCTAAACGTCTGTACTAATAGGCTAAAATCCTCACATAAAGGTGCAAGTCTGGCACAGATATAATAAGATTGGCTAGAGGTACAGGCAGGCCCTGAAAACGCTCTGTGTGTGTACGCAAGAGAGCGGTCTTGGTGGGACCAGCTGGCGAACAGTCTCCACGATCACAAGCACGGCTCTTACTCTTTTGCTGTCGGGGACCAGGTCGTCCTTCATGCGGCGTTTACTCCAGTCCTTGGCCAGCTCGTCCTCGGCTATCTCCTGCAGGTGGAAGACGGCCACCTGGGCGGACCGGCGCCGGACCCTCCCGCTGGGGGTCCGCTCAAAGTCCTCGACCGGTTCTTCCGCCACCTGGTGCTCCTCTGGCTCCGGCTCCTTTGGGCTCTACAAGACGCACACGGCACGGATCTGGTGACGCACTGCTCTGCACTCTCACTCCCACTGTGCTCGGTCAGCACTGCACACAGCATAGCACGTGTATCGAAGGAGAGCGGGCCACTCACAGCCACCCAGAGAATTCAGGAACAAGCACGGCTCTGTTCCCTGTCATGGCAACTGTAATGCATATGGTTGTGTTATGTAGGAATGTAAGAAAGGTTATAAATGAGAGGAACCATTCACCCCTATCTGGTCAGTCTGGGAGTTATCAGCTTATTGATCGAAGGATCTCATCCAGCTGTTTCCTGAAGGAAGCCAAAGTATCGGCTTCAACCACATGGATGGGTAGTTTATTCCAAACAAAATACCCATCCATGGGTAAAGAAGTGCCTTTTGTTCTTGGTTTTAAATGCACTTCCACATAGTTTCCACTTGTATCCCCTGTGTCAGCTGTGTTGTCTTTGTCAGTGCCATTGAGCTTATACCTGTCTCTGTTCAAGACTAAAGAGATTCAGTTCTTTCAACCTGAACAGGTTTCAACAGGAATGTGTGTCCCAAAATGCTCAAATATAGTTTCTGTGACTCTAGCTTGTCTTTGCATACAGACACAGCAATGTATGCACGACAGACACCAGGATACAGCACGCAAAAGTCTTTCACAGATTCTTGCAGCACAAATGCACTCAGAGAGGTTGTACTCTGAGCAAGATTTTAACTCAACATGCCGTCAAGATCCAGACTCTACAGACACCACCTCACAGTGACGCATTTAAATGAAAAGTTGTTATGCTTCTTACTGTCAAGTCTCTCGCAGTTGTGTGCTCGCATCGAATGTGATAGTCATGGCCAGCTTTGGACTTGTATGTTTTCCCACAATGTTCGCACTTAAAGATAGGCTTCTCTGTGTCAGACAGCTCCTTCCCACAGCGCCTCTGATGATATTGGTAGCCCATGAGACTTGAGAAAGTGGCTGTGCAGCCCTAGGGGAAGACAGTTAAGAGCAGGTTGCAGAAAAACACCTTGAAGAGACTTGTGTGTACAGGCACACAACAAAGCAGGCAAAAACATACTTCCCCAATCTTGCAGAAATCACCATGTTACAAAAGGCATAATGTGCTCTCAAATTAAGCAACACTTTCAAAGGACTTTCCAGATTTGCAATTTTATTTCAGAATTACAGATACATAATTTTAAGTATCATGCAAATTAATATATTTAATGAGTGTTATGTTGGGAAGCAGCAATAAAACACTGCCTTGTCTGATCAGTCTCCTTGTTAAAGTAACAAAGGAGGCAGAGTGTTTTCTAGGCACTCAGCTTCACTTATTGTTGTTGCTATTGCCTCTTGTTTTTAATCTGGTCTCACTAGCAAAGGACAACGGCAAGTTGCTTTCTTCTTATTCAGTTCTTAATTTGGCTGCCAGTTAAACCGCAGGCATGCTTTGGCGTGTACCTCATTGTGACACTTCAGCTTCCCCATTTGCTTGAGCACTCGGCGCAGCCTCTCTCTCTCTTCCTGCCCGTCCTGAAAGTGACCTTCGTTCACGACCGGCTTCGGAAACAAGGCAACATCACAGTTTTCACCACAGGGGTAAAAGACATGCGTGCGGAAGGAGTTTCTTTTTTTAACGCACATGCACAAAACACCACTGATAGGTAAGACACATCTGATTTCAGATTTTCCTCAACAGTTACAAAAACTGTTGTCAATTGTGTTACTTGTGAAATTTTATTCACATGTTGCCTCTACAATAATTACAAGTAGATTTGATCTTTACCCCTTGATCCACAGATGTCTTCAAAGAAAACCTACATAGTGGAGTCTTTTAGACATGGATTTTGAAATATGAAACTGGATGAGTTTGGTTTATTTAGAAATACACAATTACTGTATAGAACTTACTTGTGGAAAAGCTTCTTAACCAAGATCTAAGTAACAAAAAACAAACATTTCAACAGACTATTTAAGGAAATAACTATTTGCCTTTAGAAATATCTAAAAAGCCAAATATCAAGCACACTATTGCTTCTGACAAACCTGTCTTTACCGGTTATATAAGAGGCACACTACACACATTTATGCCATACTAATCTCTTTTTGAAACCTGTAACCAAATAAAAAAGACTTTCAAAATGCCATTTTACATTCTCAAATCAATGTAATGATTTTATCATCAAAAAGGCAGGCATGCTAATAACAGACAAATCGAGTATGGAAGAATAAGACGTTGAAAGAATGCTGACAATCCTCAAGAAAGTAAAGATTAAGAAATGTCTACAGCTTATCTGATTTGAAACCTGATAAGGTGAAGGATCGCGAGTCAATACAAACAAAGACAAGAAACAGATGTAAAGACTGGACCTTGGGTTTATATTTCCATGGAAAACACCATATGGTTCAGTATTTCCCATGGAACAGTCTCCTTTTTTCCTTCTGGAAAACAACAGAAGGCAAGAGAGCTCCTTCCAGCAGTAATGAAAACAAGACTGAACGCATCTCACAGAAAAACTCTGCTGCTTACCCTGCGGTATACCACAGCACATGTTTAAACCACAGCCTCTATTGTGCATGGGATTTGGAACCACTAGATCACAATAGCTTTGAATCAATAGTAAATGACTGCTCTGGCTGAAAACCCTTGAACAAGATATACCTCTGGGACTGGCACTGGTACAGCTCCATCATCAAAGAGCCACAGATGTTATTTGCCTATCTCTGCAGCAGCAGTGACGATGCGTCACATTATTTCTGCTTCTCAGATCAACATCTGCCCCAGGCAACAGCACTCATTGGGAATACAAGCCAGTCTCCAGACAACTTTCGAAACTTGTTTTTCTGTTGTAATACCTCAGCCCTTCGGCTAGCTTTCTTATTCCTCCCTGCCTGTCAAACAATTCCATGTCTGCTGCTTGAAAGTTTGAGCAAAAAAAAAAAGGAAAGTGAACTCTGACTGTTTATTCCAATATAATTTATTATGCATCTGTAGTGGAGGCTGTGCATAATTTATCATGGACTCAACTTATTAGTTTTAGTCTGTTCTTGTTTTTGTGAGGATGTGAACTTAACCCTCACCAGCTGAGGCAAATTCATCATGGATTAAGAAGACAAAGATACATCTTTTTTTCTCATAAATGGAGGTGCCTCAAAATGTCAAAACATTAATACTGCAAATCGTCAGTAAAATTCTAAATTTCTAATCTCTTTTCCTCAACTTTACTACTGTCAAGCTACCAAAACAAGAATCGTCAAACACTTCTTTGCACAAAGAATGGTGGGTGACTGGCACAACCCACCTAGCCATGTTGTAGAAGCTGTTTCCACTGGGATTTTCAGAAAATTGCTGGATATAATTCCTTGGATCCGTTATCTTTTAATAACATGAGAAAAAAAGCCTGGCTGAATGGCTTCCTTTTGCTTGTAACTTATGCTGTTAATATTTTCTCATCCCATGTGGTATCTCAGGAACCTAAATGTGGCCCCCAATCTGCAGATTTTCCACCAGCGACTTCCACAAAATGTGTGTGCAGGTTTACAAGCTCACCTTGTGACTGTGCTCCGCCATGGTATGGTAATTCAAACCCGCTTTGGACTTAAACTGCTTCTGACAGTGCTGACACTTCAAGGCATCCTGAAGCTGAGAACAAAAAGTTTAGATCGATCACTGCCAGTGGAGACTGCATTTCAATCAGTTCTGCACGGGATTGCTAAAGTCTTCAAACTAATCTGCTTTCTAATTGAATTATATGGTGACCTATCCTTTTAAAAATATAAAGGACAAACTTGTCCAATTTTGAACGTACATTAAAGGTTGGGGATAAAGTCAGCTTGTGGCTTTCTGCGTTAAAGAGCAAAGCAGCATCATTATATACAGTACTATATCACCCAAATACAAAAGCACTGAATACAGCGAGACTAATGAGTCCCTTGCCGCAGTGTGTAACCAGGTGAGACTGGAACTAAATGTGTGCTTCTGAAGTAAACAAAAGCAGATCCCAAGAAGAATTGCAAGAACAAGGCTCCCCTCGTAGTAATATCCATTCATCCTGGGGAGGGTCACAGAAGCCTGAAGTCTGTACTGGAGGCTGAGGGTACAAGCCAGAACTACACCCTGTGAGGTACACTAGTCCACTGCAGGGGACACACACACAAGAACAATTTACAGACACCAGTTAATTTAGCTGCCTTGTCTTCTGGAGGTGGGAGGAAACCAGAGCATCTGGAGAAACCCCAACTGAGCCCAGGGAGAGCATGCAAACTCCACACAGAAGACAATCTTGGCCAGAGCTGAACCCAGGACCCAAGAGCAGTGGCACTAACAACCATGTCTCACCTTCGTAATACACGTTACAAATTACATGAAAACGGAGAAAAAAATTAACTTTCTTGAAAAATTCCACAAAAGATGTAAAAGCTAGCGCCCAAGTACCTATGGCTGCATACCTTCTGGCAGATTTCCATGTGTTTCTTGAGGCCGAGGACTGTTTTCCTTGAGACCAGAGAACAGGTGGGGCAGACGATCTCACCTCTCTCTGAAATAGCATGCTGCCACTGTGCTTCCGGGCTCCCTGCGGAGGAGAGGGAAGACAAACAGAGGCATTATCATGGCAACAGAGAGTGGGCGTGGGGGGAGGGGGGTGGGGGGCAGTCTTTGTCTACCTGACACTGCAGTAGAACACGACTGATCTGCTCAGCTTGGGTCAATGCGATGTTTTACTCAAACACCGGTACAGATAAATTTGTTCCCCCCACAGACCCATTAAGAAACAGCTTGATGGAATTCTCTCATTATTATGCAAGACGGACTGAATGGTCCTTAAGCTCTCATAACCTTATTGTGTTCTTCATCTGTAACAGTTTTAAATATGTATTCTCCTGGCTAAGAGTGCCAAGTTTATAGATTATAGCTGATGAAAAGGCAACCTTTCTTTTTAATTAATTTCTGTGGAATAAATCAGTTTGTATTTTACTTAATTAGTTTAGAAAGTCCTCAAAGCGAATGTCGTCGTTGGCCTAACTAGTGTTTCAGAAGCCTTGCCTTCAGGACCAGGCACGGACAGTCACAGGAATCTGCTTGTGTATGATAAGAAAATATTTTTACCTGCAGAAAAAGTGCTTGATTCTTTTCTCAGAGTGGAGGCCTGCAGTTTCCTTATCGCTTCTTCATGAAAAATGTTTCCATCGGATTTCCTGGCTCTGGAAGCCTTCATTTTGTCTTCCGATTTACTCAGTCCTTTAAGAAACATTGGTTCAGAAACAGCAGGTGAAAACAAAGGAATGTGCAAATGCTGTGATTCAGGCCTGGATTTGTTTTTCACTATCACTTTCATGTTATTTTAAATTAAAAGAATATATATTTTAATTAAAATAAAAAAATATGTTATGGTCAGAGTGTAAATTTTGTCAAATAAAAAAAATCATTTAAACAGTAATACCTGACAAAGGGAGAACTCCCCTGTTACATATTAGGCCAAGGCGTAATTATTTGTCTTGGGCTGAAGGTGGTTTCTTAATGAAAGACAAACTTGATGTTAGTTGTTGCAGAAAAATAAAAAAGTCCATTAACTGTGTGCAAAATGTTGAGCTAATACTGAGCTGAGCTAAGAGTCTAATAAATGTGGGTTACGTTTTTAATGACAAAACTAGTAGATCTAATAACGATGATTTCAGCTGATGCACGTAAAGGATATACTGTATGTATCGTTTTTTATTTACAGTACCAACACTTGTGTATTACAGTACACAAAACAAATGTATAGAAGACTGGTGGTTCCAGGACTCTATTTCCAGAAGATGTTAAACTATACATTTCTAAAAAAAAGAAAGTATACAATGCAGTAGCAAGAAAATAAATGTTTCCATTATTGTCAAGAGTCAATTACTTATGGTCCAAAAAAGCATGCTTAGGTCAGACTCTGGTCATCACTGCCTCACACCTGGGCGATGTCATTAGTTAACAGTGATCAGGAACCGAGAGGTGACAAGGCCTGAACCTACCAAGGTGTGTTCAACTTGTAGAGGAGCAATGACCTTTGACCCTTGACCTGATACCTGCCAATTTCCATGTTGACAGTAAGAGCCACGACATGCCTCCAGCAGATTCCCACTGGCACATGTAGCATGAAAAAACATTGAAGTGTTCTAACAAGTTATGCTTCAGATGAGCACATATGGATGATTATCATTTCCCCAGTGCTGATACGTGGGTCACAGAAGTGAGATGAGTCAATTAGCAACCCACAGTTCCAAATTAGTGAGGGTAAAACAGGAGGGAAAAAAAAGAAATGTTGAAGCTATTTAAGGGTTGTACAAAATTTAACAAAAAGCTTGCAATTTTTTTCCCAGTCTGCAGATGCTGTTATTTGCAACAACCCCCTGAGAAATTACAACTATTATCTCCTGTGGTAAAACAGTGGAAAGCAAATCGAAGTGTAGAAATATAACATGCAGCACACTCAAGCATGATAAATCCAAAGTGAGTGTGGTGAAGAACTACGAAGCATGGCAAATCACGCCAAGGTCTTGAGAAACACTGGTGCAGGAAAATGAAAGGAACTACAAAAGAGTGTGAGTTCTGTTACTGAGAAGACAAAGAGAACTTTTATAGTAGGGTAATGTGTTATATTATTTAATTTTATTATTAATTTTATTGAATAATATATCATTATTTTATTTTGTGCAGGAAAAAGTAAATGCCTAGAAAATCCCATTAATTAAACAAATGTACTAGGTTGTATTAGGACTGGAAGCTGGAAAGTACCTTTCATTCCAAACGTTCCTGAAATGGAGGGTTGCTCCCCTGTGAACTTCTTTGGAGTTTTCTGTTTCCTTCCTGGCTCAAGTGAAGATTAAAACAATCAGGTCAATCGCTTTCTAATAACTATATAAAAAGACAACAGGTGCCTGTGGTTTCTGGGTCTCATTCACAAAAGGTGCAGACTGAGGCTCTCTGTGAGTGGGCATCTGGAAAGGTTTCTGAAAGAAAGTGCCCTTAGAAAGTTAACTGGGTTGCTTGTGATCTTTTATTCATACTGAGGATTTAAAATGGGTTACAATGTGATCTCTCCTTTAGTTACTTAATGCAAATATGTTTGTTACAAATTTGAGTACACAGTACATGAGAAATCTCACTGCTTTTTTACAAATGTTAACTTATGGGTTCAATATCTTAACTAATAATAAAACCAATGTGATATGTAATTAAAATTAGTATCTCAGGTTAATTCCTCCTTTTTTTTCCAAGATACGGTAACAAAAACATGCATAAATTTATGACGTAGACACAACATACAGTATTTAAGTATGGGTTGCATTTTAACCTCTTGATTAGAAAACAACTCCTGTTTTAATTTAAACAATGTTGCAAGAACAGTGCATCACTTATCTAACTTCTACAGTTTTTACATGCTAAAAATGTAATATTCCTCGTGTAAAAAATATGTTCCTCATATAAATCTGTCAATCCTTTAATGTACAGTAAGTGCAAGCAAAGCCTTTTAATGCCCAAGTCTAATAGTATAGTGGTGCTGCTAAGAAGCTCAATTGTACTATACATCCAAAAATCCTCTGTGATAGTTCTAAGAAAGTTCTTTCCTAAAGTGTTTGTGGGATGAACAACCCACATGAAATACTACATTCAATAAAACAAAGGAGAAAACTCTTTTTGTAGTTGTTCTTACCAGGTAACGGAGACCAGAGTTTGCAAACAAAGTGTGTGTTGAACTACAGGATAAACTACGGTCTCCCCAAACTGTACATGGCAAAACCAAACTACTCTCTTTTGAGCTCCCTAGTGCTGCCACAGCCCTGCCAGGCCCTGCTAGTCTACGAGGTGCAGTAATCTTACTGTGCCTTGTTCGCTCAGGGTCCTCCTCGGGAAACAGAGAAGGCAAGCTGCCTGCCTCGCTCTCACTGCCTCCGGGGGTCTTCGGCGATGCCTCAGAGGAAGTGGCCTGTGAGTGTTTCTTGTCAGCCTTCTGGACCACACAATCCCCATTCTGAGAAAGCTGACCCACCTCCTGCATCTTCTTCATTTTACACATACCTGGGGCTGCATCTGCATTTTCTGCAGCCCTGGAGGGGAATAAATACCCAAATGAGTAAGTAAATGAATATGACTTACAAAAAAGGCCTAAAGACGTCTGGTATTACTGTAACAAGTGTTAGGATTTAATTTGCTCCTGAACAAGAACTTAGTAAATCTGTTTAAACTGCGAACAGATACAAGGCAACATTAATTTCTTAAATAAACTGCATCCTCTTTTGTAGTTCTTTCATACACAATTAAGGTAACATTTGGTTTCACGCTATTTCACACTTACCAGTGTTCAGAGACGTAAACCTGTCTGGTCTGAAGATGATCTTGGCCAATAATTTTTGGAATTGCCAATTGTTAATCAGCTCAGCTCACCTCTGTGACTCTTGTACGAGCACAGCAGGAATGAGGACAGTGCAATCTTTACTCCAAAGCATGTACTTCTTAATGCTGATGTTCATTTTACAGCAAGTGAAACCCACAGCCCCTTGCAGGAGACTGAGCATCAGATGTGAGAGTAATGTGGCTCTCCCTGACAGCACAGGCAAGTCGCAGGGGTCACTGCTGCACAGTAAGACAAGACATAGCCTGGGTGACCTGTGATCTCCAAACCAAGGCAGCACTCAGCCAATTTTGCAATGCTTCTTGGGGAAACACAGTGACAACAGGGCACTGTTAAAGGCCAGGGCCTTTTTATAGGTCGAGAGAACTCTCTTTCCCTAAACCAACAGTTGAATTTTCTTGTTCTTTTAAATTTAATCTGCAACAGCTGTGCAGCTTTAAAATGAGGGCATACACGGAAAGAAAAGCACCTTTTCTTAGCATTCCCCTTGACTGGTGTTTTCTGCACTTTGTTATCAACTTTCGGCTCCTGCGAGGCCTTGTCAGCATGGTTCCAGGCTTTGTGCTTCTCCAGGCGGATTTTGGATGCAAAAACAGCTTCACAATAAGGACACCGATGGCTCAGTTTCTCTGCTATCGTAGCCTGAGAAAAAGGTAAACATGTAAAAAAGGAGGGTATGATAAAACAGTGGCATTAATGTTGTGAACGAGAGGAAAGCAGGCTTACTCAGTGCCTAACGATTCAATGAAATCACCCAGCCTGTTTCGGAATGATCCAGAATCTCCGTATGGGCTTGCTTGTTCTTTGCCTCCACAGCTCTGAGAAAACAAAGTCTACTCTGAAGACTTGAACTGTGTTTAGCCTGAAGTGCAGGCCAGGACTCTCTGTTTATCTTAATCAAATCTCCAATAAGCCTTTTTTTTTGCTACAGGGTAAAAAGGTTGAATCTGTTAACTATCTGACATGGCCATTTTGTCTAAGGAAAGTCTCATAGCTGCTTTATTGACTTCACCCAGTGCTACAGTAGTATGCTTCTTTGTTGCTATATACAATCGTCTGAATTGCTTCATGCTATTTTTTAGTTTTGCAATAATGTGCCATGATATTAAACATACCTGTTACAATATAGATTTTAAATTCAGAGGTGCACAGAAAAAAATCTGCATGGGTCATGAAGTGAGAGTTCTGCTTTCTTTTTCTTTGGGACTTCAGAGACACATGCACTTTGTCTAAATCAAAAGGGTCAACCTCTTTGGTATAGCTATAGGTAGAGACTTGAAGCCACATTCATTCCCTTCTCGTCCTGTTCACACAAAGCTTGTTCTAATCTGGAACACTAAAGTAACTGACAGAATTCTTTTTGACTTTGTTAGGGCACTGCCATATTGCCCTAAGCAATTCATATGGCACATCAGCTCATGTGAAAGAGGAGGGTTTAATCAATCTAGTTTTCAATTATAGTGAGGTCACAAGGCTTAACAGACTTTTGCCCTAAGACTGACCCTAAGTGCAGAGGACTTCAGCACATGCATATTAATGCTGCATCAAAAATACCAGCCTGCATACTGGAGTTTTAAGTTGCATTCATTACACATGGTCTTCTGAAGGACTAAGCACTATTTCCCATATTTCTAGATAAAGTGCAGCAAATGAACAATGAACTATGGGTTGGGCTACCTAATAATGTAAAATGTAGAAGTTCAAGTGGTAGTAAAATATATACATTACATATATGTATGTATTACACAATATATAATATATATACACTTCCCATGTTACCCAATTCTCAAAGCTAAACCATTTACAAAATGATTTTTATCACTGTTTGTTTCTTGCTTCACTCAGCCGAGCACTGATGATTTACTGTAACTAGGCTTGCCTTAAACTTAAATATATGAGATCCACAACACTGAAAATCCACTCTTACCCCCTGACAGCGCTGGTAATGGTACTTTAGTCCATAAATACTCGGGAATTCTAGCCAGCACCCAGAGCTGGGGCATTTTACTCTGGAGTGATTCTTAAACTCTTCTTTCCACGAAGCCATCACAGCAGCCTGCGGAGCAGAAGTGAGAGATTAGAAATAGCTAGTCTCTCAAAACAAATCCAGTATGTTCCTTATGAATATAGTTGCTGATTAAACTTTACTTTAATTCCAGTCACATTTCTTTTCTTTGGTTTGCTTGTGTTTTAGTTTTTCTACAAAAATGCTAAATATAAGATCTCAATATCTCAATCTAACTGATACAGCAATTCCTTATCACTTTACAAAACTCAGAATAGTTTCGAAAAGTAATGCTAAAGAGATTTGAGTAAATTCACATTATTATGTACAGTACCTTCTGTGTCAATAGTACATAAACATTATTTTAGATATGCTACATAAAAACCCCTATAACGAATAATGTCGTCTGTGACACAACACAAGAATAACTGTAATTTTGCACCAATTTCACTTTCAAGCCAGGTTAATTTGCACAGAAAACTATAAGAAAAATTAAACCACTCAATCTATTTTCACTTTTATGGAGCAGGACATAGCATGATTAGCAAATCTAACAAACCTGATACACAATACCAGTATTTCCCTTCTTTCAGCATTCCCTACATTACAAAATTCCGGAATTGTTTACTTGAAGTGAAATTCAAGATTGACATTCATTAAAACTATTTACAGAAGGTTAACTATGCTTGATAATTTACCGAGCTTTCTTTAATCTCAAGGTTACTTTTTAGTCATCTTTCACATAAAACATCTATTGCTTTTATGTCCAACTTAACTGGGAAACAAACCTCCACTGTACCACAAATGTAAAATTTGCAAGGTGAAAATTTCATGAAAATGAATTTCCACCATAATGCTCAACTTCACAGAAGCCTCCAAAATGGAGGATTGTGAGAGTCCGGAAGTAGAGGTACTGTACCCTGCTATGTTTCTGAAGCCAATATCCCTGTTACCTTATAGTAATGGCTGGACAAGATCCTTGGATCAATTAGCTAGTAATTCCCACATTTCAAAACGTGGCATCTTTTCATTTGTATCCTCTCCTAAATTAAGATTCACAGTTTATCCTGAAGATGCATTTACCAAACAAAGAAGATGAAAATGAATGCCGAGCACAGTCCTTTTGAACACGATGTGGGGTTTTATTTCTTCCACAGACAAAGGGAAAAGGAGTATCAAGCAGGTGTTAGTGCAGAAGCCTTAGCTTTAGGCCTCAGTATGGTGTTTTAGGCTGCTTACAGGTATGCTTCTCAGCTCCTGGTTTTCAGCTCTGGGGCGTCCTTTTTTCTTGCCTTCCACCTTCTCATTTGCAGATGTACCTTCAGAGATGGGAGAACAATTCTTGTCATTTGAATCTTTATACAAAGAAAACAACTGTCAAATAAGCCTGGCAATACCACTTTTGGAGATCTGGAGGGAAGCAGTGTGGGTCTGATAATTGTATTGGGTGTGGGCTAGGGGATGAGGAAGCTACTGGGGAGGAGGAAGGGGGAATTTTTACAAGGTTCTTGGTCATTTTAATCCTGTTCTGATGTTCTAATCAAAATAAAAACTTGATCTAAAAAAGGAATTCTAATGAAGGTCACAATCAAGAGCACTTCTACATTAAGACTCGCACTTATAGATAGCAATATATCCAGGGCTAGTAAAACCTGACCTTCTCTAGATGCACAAATGTGTTCTCAACTGACCTATCTGGTTAAATAAAAATATTGATACTTTCAACTCAACCTAGTATTGTACAGAAAACACAGAGACACAATACCTTTTCTGTTAAGACTTTTTTTATTAATTAACCTTTGCAATCAAACAAACTTATCAGTCAAACAAACCATGAAAGATGGCTATAATTTAACAAGCCTCAGGATCTCCGTGCCCAAACCCCAGCCTTCATATTCCTTTACTATATTAACTCCCATTTCTGGTTTCTAAATCACTTGATCCACTCAGAGTGTATGTTTTTGAATAAGAGGACAGGAATTGGACTGTCAGAGCAGGTGGGTAAAGAGTCCAGATTTGAAGTTATAAAACTTTGTGTTCCTTTCAGTTCTCTCTATGACTGTTTTATCCTGCTCTAATGAACAGAATTGGGTTTTAGTCTGAGTGCGTTGTTGCTTCATGTCATATTTCACTTTGAAGACTTCTTTCAAGTATCACACAGCATGCTGCCTAACAAGGATAAGCACGCTAATTAACACAATCACCCTTTGCCACAATTAGATCTCAAATAAATCACTCTGGCTCCTGGGCTGTAATCCTACATTTAAATTTTGTCTTGCAGATTGCATCGGAATTAATTAAGTTCATTTCATGCTTGGTATAATCCTGACCCAAGATTTTGTCAGAAATTGGTTATTTTTCAAACACTAAATTAAATGTGATATATACTGGTCTTTGGACACACTGAAAATAATGGTCATTAGTCTCACTGGACCCCACTTCAAATGCATGTCTATTAATTTCTAAAATAATAAGCAGCGCTAAGCACTTACTAACCCACTATTGCACTGCCACTCTTGCCTTTAAAAAAAGACTGTAATACCAAAACAATATAATATTCTAGAATTTGTCTTAGTGCCAAATTAATCCAATCATTAGGTACTTTTCAGGGTAATAACCACAAGAAATAACACTGTCCAGAATTGTCACAGATATTCCCAGCCTGATGTATGAACATCAACCTGCTGCATGACTGCATCAAGTCTGCAGTAGACACAGCTACAGTAAATGGTATAAAGATTATTTCTTTCTGTTCAAACCTTTAATCTATGTTTAGTCACTAAATCTGTGTTATCAGCATGGTAAAGCCATTCCTTTAATTACTATAGTAAATTAGAGCTGCATAAATGTAATTTCTGCTGTTATTATTTCACATTTGATTTTAAAATAACTAGAAACATATAATCTCACACAATCGCACAATAAAAATTCCTACAGTTCAAAGCAGGAATTTAATATAAGTTCAAGTGGTTTTGTTGCTGTTTTGCATTAATCATAGGATGCATGCTATCCTTTAACTAGTGTAAAAGAGTTCAACATCTGGTCAGACTTTTCCAGCCATGCTGTTCGGTGAATTTATGATGTGTGCTTCGTTCCACACTTTAAAGTTATTAAAATATTCTTAACATGAAAATGGAAAGTGGATTTATCAAACTTATCAGCGTTTTGCTTTAAATTTCAGGTTTAAAATAACACAAATTTAGAGTTTATAAAAATGTTCTAAACCAAGTAATTAATCGACTCAATTCTGTTTGCCTGTTGCTATAGAAGTGAGACCTGCTGTAGTTATCTATGTGCTCCCAACCCCCAAATCATCTTTAATTCATGTCCATTTAGACAGGTGGGTGGGTCACACAGCAATTTTCATGCTACAGCTGCGGTCGGTATATTGTTCATTTTCAAACATCAAGGCCAAGTTAGAACGAGAAACTGAGCTTCTTCAAGCACTGCCAAAAGCAAAATAATCTCAAATAACCAAGTCATTTTTAAGAGAACCCGGAATAGTTTAATTTTAGGAGAATATAAGTTACAATGCATCATTAAAACTTAGCTTTTTTATAGAAATTCCCGTTATTGTAATTCTGATGCTGCTGTCTTACTCGTGTTGTTCTCTCACATCCTATGAGCATGGCTTTCTTGGAAACACACCTACCTAAACATGAATATCTGCAACTAACAATGCTTCAACAAGTTTTAAATCTAACCAGATATGCATGCCTACGCTATAACTCGAAATCACACATAAATACAGACTATAACACAGTTACTGTATTCTACTTTATTCTACTGTAAAGCTTTGTAAATGACACACACAGTACAGAGAGGCTGGGGACAATGTAGGTGATACAGAGTATTTATAGCATTCACATTGGGCAAACTGATACATGAGTAGTTCAATAAAAAACATTAAACCTTTCGACAAGTTAGAAATTATACATTTTCTCAAGAAATTAATATTTAATTAATTGGTAGTTTCAATTACACTGTGCTGTTGATCTCTCTAGAGTACTGTATATTCACATACAGTATTCTATAGATGCATCTCACATTACATCTAGTGTTCGGGCATTTCTCTGACAACAACGGCAGAAAAAAAACATAGAAAGTTAATATTTAATAGGTGAGTATTAATAGGTAATAGGTGGGTATAGAAGTTTAATCGGTGGGCATTTATTTGAACCATTGTCAACACCATGTTAGCGATGTTAGGCACCAAAAGTGATTCATCTCTGATGAGATCAGCAAGGTTACTCACTCTGTAAAAATAAGTTCAGAAAATGTTAAAAGTGTAGACTTTCTAGCCACTATAGCCTTTCTTTGATTGAATGGCTTAAAAACATAACTTTGTTATTTATTGTTTGTGAACTAGAAATCTCCACACTCTGAAGACTTTCACTATTGTGATCCAATGGGAAGGTGATGCTTAAGGGGTTGCAAAATGACTGCCTACTTTTTTATTTGAGCCAGAAAAAAATAAAAAAAAGGGAAAAAAAATCAAAGCACAGCGAGACACATTTGTTATGTATGCAGAGCATTTAGAAAGCCTTGTTATTTTTGGATGCAGACATCCTTTAATATGCAAGTATCGTAAATTGATTTCTCAGGAAACACACGCAACCTTCCCAGCTACACAGCTTTCTAGCCAAAGAACCAGACACAGTTGTTTAAAGTCTACCAGATTGACAGATAAAATCTCAAAATAATGTATTAGAATCTCAGAACTGCCTAAAACAATTCTTCACATTAGGATTAAATTAAAAAAAATAATAATTAGGATTTAAATTTAGGACTAAGTGGGTACCTAAAACAAAAAACAGACAATGTATGAGTTGTCAGTTTGTTACTGGCAAAAGTTAGAAAGTGTGACTGCATAGCAACACCTACTAAGATTAAGATGTGAGGCTTGACCTGTATTAAATAACCAAAATCCCTACAAACTGTACGACGTGCAACTCAGATGACCTTATTTACAGGAAGATAATTGTTACACATAGGAATTTGCAATAGTGTGACCTCATGAGTGTTTCAACCAGTAAAGATAATTGTTCAGTACCTTGATTGAACCTGACCAAAAAAATGGAATCCACAAATAAAAATGCAATGAACAGCAATTGACTTCACCTCTGAAATTCCCAATTAATACTTGCAAAAGGGGAGCCTATCTGACTTAGAAACTAGTCTCGTTTCTGTGTTTAGAAGGTACTGCGGGGCTGTGTCACGGTGTAACAACCCAAACTGAGGGCACAGCAAGATTTCTCATCCAAATGCTTTGTGAATGGCTTATTATAAAGATGGAGAGTTAAGCCGAAAGGCAGGATATAACAAAGGCATGGAAGGAAGAGAAAGTCATTTCTCAGATGATGTGCATGTCTGAGATGAAATTATCCTGAGCCAGCATGCACTTTCGCAGTTCGGTGCCCTCTTTAGAAAGCTGACATAACCGCCAGCAATTAAACAGATGAATGACCATACAACCTTCAAAGGTTACTAAACTACTCTTAAGTTTACACATAATGCAGCAGGTCTTGTCAACCAATAAGCATTTGACATTAGCTGTCAATACAAAAACATTGCTCTTTGCTTCTTACCCACATTAAATTAATAGGATAAAAACACAATTCAAAGCTGTATGCCAGTGCAGTGATCAGGAGATTTTAATTCATGAAACCCAATACAAACATAAGTATAAAATATTTTGTGTTTAAATAAAATCCACAGGTACTTTAGAGAAGCCAAGAATTCCAATAAATCTGGTGTTCTGTGGGCTAAGAGGAGATCTCTGTGAGCTGCACAAGGTGCTGTGCTCTCCAAGTTCTCTTGGAGAAGAACGTTTTTTGCCCTATATGTAAAGACTCTACTTCACTACTACATTGGTGCAGCTACTGTACCTTCAGTGCAGGCTAATGGAAACAATTATGACTCCACTTTCCTGTGTTCCTACATTCAAAAACCTCTTCTTTATTCCCATGAACTATTACAGCAAGAAAGAATGGAATCAAGAAAAAAAGCATTAGCATCTTAAGCACTGACATATTTTTCTTCTGGTATCTCTTACTGTAATTATATTGTGTAAATGTGTGTACAAAAAGCAAACTTTTGGGTCATTATGACCATGCAGTAGAAGAACTAGGAAAAAAATACTAGAGGGAGACAAGTAAATTTTCCCTCACAGCCAGCTGCTGTTACTTAACACACAATGTCAGAATGTGTGCTTTACAATTGCCAGAATACTGCGTTTTTTCACCAGTTCAGGAAATAACACTCCGAGGTATCATAATCACGGACATATGGGGTAATCATTCAAACTGCTGTTTAATTGTATTTACTTTCATTTTTCATGTAAGTCTACAGTCTAACCATTATGCGCTCAGTGAATCCAGTAAGCTATATGGTATTATAATCAGAGTGGAGGTCCATATATTCATTTGTTATATTGTGATGGTTAATGTACCTATGGGAATTTCAACCTAAAACAATGACAAACACTCTCATTACCAGAACCACCTGTCTGTTATCCAGGCCCGTTACCTAGTAACGTTCCTATTACTGTACAAGTGTAATTAGAATCCGAGTCCTAAATTTACAAATATATAATTAAGTATAATTATTCTTATACATATGCTCAAACACTAAATACCCAAGACATTCAAGACTGGTCATCATTTTTAATCCCCTTTGTCAAACAAACACATATTTCCCTACACAGATGCTGTTTTTTGAAGGAGTGCCTCTAGCTTCAATCTTACAGACATTTGAAACATTTCGATATGTCTGTTGATTTAAAATTTCCTCTGTGAGACTATTTTTACATCTGGAACTGATGATTTATTCCTTTTCTGCTTTGTACAATAAGTATGAATGTATACTGATTAAAATGTACGTGTTGAAATAAGGCAGTGAAGAAAAATGTGAAACCTTTCACTTCAAATTTAGAGGCTAACACTCAGTCTATCCTAACAGGCCGAAGACACTCAACGTACCCAGCACTGTGGAAAGTCAATGGAAAGAATGTCAATGGAAATGTCGAAGAATGCTCTTCAGAGACTGAGTAATCTGAATCCTGAAAATTGATTCTAACGTGGTGTAAAACAGAGGAGGTGTAACAGCAGAACACAGCACCAAGAGCCTTAAACAGTCCCTCATTATTCCACTTTTATTCTTTCTTCAAAATGCCTCTCAAAGCAGGCATCTCATTAAAACTCCCATGGTAAAATTACCATTGGATACAAGAAATCCCTTTAATTATTCTTTTGACTGGATTCCAAAATATATGATACATTTTCTCAAGTCGTTTTCTCTGTCTTTGATGTCTCATAAGACAGAAGTTGATAACACATTTTACCCAGGAAGAGAGAGAAGCCAGGCTTTCCAAAAAACAGCCCCTCTCAGTCATGTCAGTAATGCTCACGTGATCTACGCAATCTGATAACACACACTTAGAAAATGGGAATTATAAATATGATTATGTGTACAGGGTAATTAAATGCAATTCAAATAATCTTACCAAAGGTAACATAAACAAGAGATCTTTTAAAATCCAAATTTCAATCCAAAAATCTCAGGAATCTTTTGAGGGCTCACATATAAAACACTGCAACCAGACTTGGCTATTTTTTTAATTATGAGAATTAGGGCATTTCACTGATGAGGCAATTATACAGTAGGTGCTAATATGTTTCATCCATCACAATATGTTTTTTTTTTACAACAAGGTCGTTTATAAAAATAAGCCTTTACTTTTATAGCAAAACAACAAAAACAAATTAATATTCTCCTTTTGGGAAGCACTTAATTCACCAGCATGCACATGAATATCTCTGAATGTCATTTTTGGGAAAAAAGTATTAAAACAACATCTGTTTGGGCTACCCATATATGAAGCTTCATTAATAAAAGAGATGTGAGAAAATCTACACAAACTGGTCTTTGGACCAAGAAGACACTAACAACCAAATAAACAAGACAGGCTGAATGACCTCTTCTTGCTTTAAACTGTACAGTACTTTTAAGTTCTTAAGAAAGCTTGAAAGTGAGGTTATTATAGGAATATTTCAATATTTTTTACAATGCTTTCAATTTCCTCTAGCACACTGTTTTTATTTTTGGGGCATTGCAGTTACGACTTTATACATTTGGACTGTATATCCCTTGTCTGTGTGCAATGAAAAGTCTATCAGACATCATTATGTACTGTAGCTGGTTCCTGGTTCCTGTTTAAAAGTCTATCCATTTGACTGGAATACCAATAGTGCAGCACAAAGCTTCCAGTAGCAACAAAAGAGAACAGGATCAATGACCACTCACCAAGTTTAGTGTCTTCTCTGCCCACCTTCTTTGCTGTCGCTGTCAGGCCTGCCGGTTTGCTGAGCCTTCTCTGGATTCCACCAGAGGGCACATGGCCTAGCCGTCCCCTGCTGGAGTCTGCCATGCCTCGAATACAGGCAGACTGCAGCTGGAACACCAAATCAAAGATTACCTGTCAATCACACGTCTACCCCAGTAACCCGTCCACAAAACACCTGTCAGGAAGCTGCCACCTTTAATACAGCTTCTACATGAAACCCAGTCAATTATTCATGTTGAAATAATTTTTTGCCTATGTTCAGCTGTCCAGAAACACTGTATTAATACGTAACAGAGGAACATTTCGATATAGGCAATAATCCTCAGACACCCCATGTCTATTTAAAAATAGCTGCTGGTTCTATGATGTGAAAAAAATGTATAATAAAGATAGCTAGTAGAGTATATTATTCAAATAAAAAGGTATGGTTGTCACTCAGAACATTGTTTTACCGGCTTTAACTATTAAAGAGATATGAATAATTAATCTCCAGAGACAAGTGATAGCTGCTGATGCAAACTTAAGTTTTATGGTCAAAAAGTACGAACTAGAGATTAAAGATACAACTACTGAGTCAGATTAGCATACAAAATGAACAAGCAACCCCCAGAATCTCTAACACACATAAAGGTCCAGCCTTTGACCTTTTAATACAGTAATGCATGAGGTCTCCCTGTCATAAGGACGGCAGCAGACAGAAGATACAGTGAAGTAGTGTCTTTGCGTTACACAAGGGACCTCTACATCAGTGAATCGGTGTGCAATTATCCCAGAGGCATTTGCAGTTACCATATCCTGTCTGTACTTCCTGATACTGAAGCAGCCCTGCCTTCAGTCCGACACTCTGGTCCAGACACTAGTGCCAAATGTTAACTGGGAAAGAATGTTTCTCTTTCTATGCAGACCGAGACAGAAGATAAGGGGAATCTTCTGAAACAATGAAAATGAAACTATACAACTATCTGTTTATATATTGATGACCTAAGAGCATAATAAATACAGGATTACAAGATCCCTGTAAAGGCCTACATGAGATTAAGATATTTGGGGGCTGTGAACCTCTTAGCACTCTCTGGGACTACTCATAAAATTTAGGAAGAAACATAATCTTTCCAGTGTTCAATACTCAAGTTTATGTAACAACAATCCTATATACTCTAAGAAAACAAAGACAACCACAAAAACAATTAAGTTGTGTGAAAACTAAGGGATCTGGGATTTTAATGAAAACTCCTATTCTATTTAAGAAATATAGATGTTAGAAATCAATGACAAAAACGTAAACTTTCCACCTCTTGAGGAATACAGTTTCAGTTCCCCCACCTCTCTTTAGCACCGAACCTGCTGTGGTTGAACTACTGTACGTTCATTCTTGTTCTTAGCACGACTGAAACCGGACTGTGGGGATTCATATTTAAAGCAACCACCCCCCAAAAAAAAAACCACAACAGCACACTCACTTCGCATCAGGTAGGCCACACCTACCTGGTGTGTTGGGAGTCACCCGACACCAACACTAGTGGCCGGGTGGACCGGGTCACCCACGTGGGGTCAGGCGGTGCACTTTGCTGTCGCCCCGGTTGTTACATGGCAATCACACCTGCTGTCCCGGGAGGTGATCCCAGCAGACTGCCGTCACGGCCAGTAGCCACTCTCGCAACACCCGCTGTGGTTCCCAGGGAGGAAAGAAAAATGCAAATTAAAACACAACCTGAACGTTTTTTTTCCCCCCTCAATCCAGCCACTTTCCGCTTTGGTTCATTAATATGCAAAACACGGGGTACTTCGTTTACCTCAGGCGTCTGTGGAAAAAGAACGGTACGGAAAATTCTGGCGAAATGGCTCAGTCCCATAAAGGAAATAAAAAATACAAGAAGCTTTTATAGGCACTGAAGCAAAATGGCGACTTTATAATACGAAGGAGGAGTAAAAAAAAATCCTTGCGCTGCAAAGAGAGAGAAAAATATGTTTAGTGCAGTAATTTTCGGCAGCTACATGGCAGTTCGCTAGAGTAAAAGAAAATAAAACGAAGGAAAATATAAAAAAAAAGGTGCAAACGCGCTAGTTTTAGCTGCGGTCTGCTGCTCCTTACCTCTGATTATTTTATTTTTGTAATACAGATATAATCTCCGGGGCCGTGTACAGTATTACAGTAATGTGTTGGGTCATGCGCGTATCCACTCTACCTTTGACAGTTGTAACTACAGTCGAGAAGGCAACTTGCAAACTCTCGCGTTATTATTTTTTATCATGCAAATTAAATTCAGTTTTCAGTAAAATAAAATCAATGCAAAACTGACCGGCTGGTGCGTTTCCACCGACGTGCTGCAGTTCAGTCTTCAGCAGAGAAGGGTTAGGCAGTCTGTATGTATGCAGCCTGGTTGTCTGTCGCCGAATATCGTTAATAAACGTTTTGATTTTGAGTTTTTTTTCTCTCTCTCTCTCCAATCTAATGCTTATTTTTGAACGCATTACACATAGTATTGTATTGAGCCGCCACACCCTCTTACGTCTACTTTTGTTCTAATCTAACTTTAAATACGGGAACTGGATCTTTTATAAAATAGACAACCATTTTAATTCGACTTTATCTAATGATCCTGCGCTCCGAGTCAAAGTAGTGGCACACAGATTATATGCGAGACAAACCCTTTTTAATTTCCTTAAAATGATCATTTTAAAGGGTGTTAAGTGGATTTTTTTTCTCTCTCCAGGCCAAATTTAGCACAGGGGGGGCAAATTGTTTCCTAAAACGGAACGACACAGCCCCACCCAAAAAAAGGGAAAAAGATGATCCTTCAGATCTGAACACCTGCGTTTATGTCAGGACTTTCAGTAGATGCAGGAAAAGACTACAGTTCTAGCTGCAGTAGGAATACATGTTTAACAGAAGTCAAACAAAATTCTGTTTTAAAAATAGTTTTTTGAGCAGGGTACAACATGTTAAGCAGCAGGAAAAATCCATCTATCTTTTATAACATAAGAGAAACTGAACGTAACTTAACTTCCAAACATATATTTACAGCAATGGGAGTATTTTCAGGAAAATGTACTGTTCCGCCATACAGAGGTATACCTTAATTAATTAAACCTTTTATACATTCAAAAAGAAACATAAGCAACATGTCTGAAATCTTTTGTCATTATTAAATGTTTTATCTAGTCTTTTCCCAAGTAATATACTTCAGTTTGAAAATACTAAAATATCAATCCAGTCCAGTAATAATACCGGATAACCCCTCTCTCCGACTGCATAACGAATTTCGGGAACATCAGAAAGCTATTAATAGATGCAAAACATTCCTAATTTTAGGCTTCTATTGTATGATAGATATGAATTAGTTATTAGCTTTGGGCATTCTTATTTCTGTATCTTATTTCGAGGTTTTCTTTCCCCAGAGATTTGTTCCCCAGTGAGTTTTGTTTAAGTTTTCACAAGCTTTGCTGTATAATTAATTCTATTGCTTAAAGTGTACGATTTGTATAAAATCTTAAGTATGGAAAAATGCAGAAGTCAGTGTAGGCCTCCTTATTAAATCTTTACACTTCACAGTTGCATGCACTTCTTTAAATCTTATTAAATAAACAGTACGAGACGCCACCAGAGGGTAGCAGACACCTATTAGACAACCGGAGCGGAGTATCTACGGTACTGTTTCCACAGAGATACAATGTTTAAAAAACTCACAATCCACTCCCTTTGCTCTCATTTGGAGACATTCCCAATCCAGTCCCCCCCGAATACTTACCGATGCCGTTTCTAATTGATTCGATATTTTGTTCCTTCAGCACTAATGGTCAGGGAGCTTTATGTAATGGAAGAAGCACTTAGCCTCACAGTAAATAGCAAGAAAAAGTAAGGTGCCGTCTGGTTATCTCAGTGTTAAAGTCAGTGTTAGTCACGTGTAGTCCCTCCACCACTGGCACGGTATAGCGGTTATATCAATTTCTCCCCATGATTTGCAGTCAATAACCTCTGAACTCCTCAATCATTTGCATCATATTCACACAGCTAATTCTATTGATCCAAAAAGAGTCGTTAAATACCCTTTCATAATTGCGTAAGGGTAATGCCATCTCATATACTCTCGTCTCCTGTATTGCTATTTCCTTTTGCTTTGGTGTCCTGTCCTGTGTAACTGATTTTGTGGTCCCTAAAAATGTTATGATAGTCTCTTCTATTCTGACATAATGTATATGGCTGAGCAGATCATGCAGTCAAATATTTATTTCATAAAGCCTCTACTGTAGCTGTTTGATTACTTTCCAGAAGTCTTTCAGGGGAAAAGCTGAAGGAAAATAGAGTACCACAAAGGGCAGGGGGAATATTTTTGTAGTACGCTTTCTGTTTTTATTTAATTTCGTAATCTCCAGATTGTGTTATGTTATGGAAAGTAACATTTACAAAATATTGCAGCATAGTTACAGGTCACTTATATAAATTGGGTGCAATTACTTTCAAGAAGTAACATTTTAATTTACATGTACAGTAGTAGCAACTACACATACACAACGCAGATCAATGTAACTGATTGTTCATTAAAAAGTTCTCAAAACCGTTATTAATTAAAAAAACTTTTACACAGGTATCTTGCATCTGTAACTGCCTGCTTATTAAAAAAACTGTTCCTACCAATGACATAGGCATCCTAGATTTAATAAAAGTCTCTTATCAGGTCTCTTCATTAGTTTGTTAGTTAATATATGAAAATATGTTTCGAAGCCTGATACCTTTGACAGTGTAATGATTTACTCATAACTTCTGTAAGATCTTGTTGCAGTTAATCATTGTCCAGGTTTGTGGTTTATTATAGGAAAAAGTAAAAATGAATGACCATTCAGGCACTGAATGAAGTTAGATTTGTAGCCAAACAAGACTCCCACAATTGTGTAGAGATTCATTAAAAGGGGGCATAGGTACCAGGTTTCTCGGACTAATGAGCGTTAAGAACTTCCAATTTTAGAAGAGTCTGTTGTGATTGAATCCAAATTGCATGGTTTTATGGACGCATTTTAAGATTTGTGCTTCTGACATTTCCAGCATTTGAAAGGACTATTCCAACAAAGTGTTATGGGGTTTATTTGCAAATGACACTTGCATTGGAGAAAAAAAAAGCTATCCTGAAAGGTGTGTTTTGCTGCATCTGAAACAGAAACCATAGAGAACAGATCATTAATCTCTTGTAATATTGTGTGCCTGCACCCGCCTACCTCCTTCAGCAATTATACGCTCTCTATCAAACGAAATGACACACATGCCAATGATGAGTGAAATTTGTTACATAAATTCCAGTTATTTGCTGTGTGGCTGTTACAGTTGATTATGCATTTATTTTCTTATTCCAAAAAGCATCAAACAAATCCTAGTTCAGCCTATGCTAAAGAGCCAAAGTGTATTTTAATGGAGGCCATTTTACAAGTTGGTGAACACCCTTTAGAAGTTTAAAATGATCATGACATTATTTTGTTTATCTTGTTGCTCTTAGTGCTATTGTTTGGCATGCCTGTTAGGGGTGTCTTAGTGATAGATTTTCAGTTGGGTTAAATTGGGTCAAATTATTAACATGCTTCCTTCTGCTTATTCTAGGCTTCTGAGTTGTGAAATCTTCATGTTATTTGTTTCTTCTTGTTTGAGTAACATCCTTTGTCTAACCTTATAGGGGCTAAACTATGATTCTCTATAAATTACTTTTACCTTTATCTTTTGCCAAAACAAATGCACAAATAAAAACAAAAACGGACTGCATTTCACTCCCATGAAATGATCATTTCATGTCTGAAATTATCCTTGAAATTAATTTTGTATTGCACAGTGCCACAGTGGTTATCATTGCTGTCTCACAGCGCGGAGGCCCTGGGTTCAATTCTGGACCTACTGTATCTGTGTGGAGTCTGTTTGTGCTCCCTGTGTTCGCTGCGTTTCCTCTCGCTGCTCTGGTTTCCTCCCACAGTCCAAAACCATATTGGTAGGTGAACTGGTTTCTGGGAGTACTGCCCCCTGGCCCTTGTGTGAGTGTGAGTGTGTGTCTGCCCTGTGATGCACTAGAGTCCCATCCAGAGAGTATCTGGCCTTGAGCCCATTGCTTGGTTGGACTCTGCCTCCCCCATGACCCTGAATTGGATAAGAGGGTTAGAAAACTGATGGAAAGATGTCAGTGGGTATATTGTTCTTCTGCAGGGGGAGTAGAAAAGAGGTTAGGAAGCAAAGAGAAGGCATCTGTAGCAGGCCAGCAGAGGGGAGGGGGTGGACGCAGGAATTTGGAGGTAACAGCCAGCAGCAGATGATGAAGATGGCCAACAGAAATCAGAACTGCTGTGTCATTGGCCACATTTCAATGTCTGCTCAAAATCTGTTTGCACAGAACCTATCACTTCTCTGCTTTCAACATTATTCAATTGCTCTTACACTGTATTGCAATGTGTTTTTTTTAAATCTCGGACATGGAATACATACGAATGTTAATACTGCTGCACTGTGTCCATAATATCTGTGTACTGTAGTAGTTCTTATCATTTTATTTTGTTAGTGTGGCACTTACAGGACATGTCTTTTCCAGCTTGTTCTAACCTTATTTGTATTGTATGAATTTAATTTTTTTATTTATTTACTTTAACCTTATTCTACCTCCAGAATAGCTGTTTACACAAGTACCAATGTACTGTAAATATTTCATATGTCACCCTGGAAAAGGGTATCTGCCTAACAAATAAGTAATAATAAAGATGAGAACAAAGGATTTAAGCAGAATCCTAAAAGTGACAAACAGGCTGTTTAAAAAGAGGGAAAAAGAATATACACTCAGAATTGTCAGTGAAGGCTAAGATGGTAGATCTGTGTTATAAAGGTGGAATTAAGGAATTTATAGAATAAAAACAACTCTGTTTGCTTACAGTACACATGGCATATATTTACCATAGTGGATTGTAGTACAGTTCATTTGTTATTAAGGTAAAGAAAAATACTAAATCATCACATTCTTGTAGACTGACAAGAACACATTAGTTACCTGATGGTTTCAGTTCTTTGACTTCATATGAGTAATCATTTTCATATTCTGCCATGAATCAAGAAGACAGTTGTTGGCGTCACTCCTTCATCCTTCAGAAATTGCACAAAGGGAGCGAGTGTGTTTCAAGACCAGCAGCAGCAGTCAGCCACACTGTCACAGCTTCTTACACAGAAATTAGAGAGTCATTCAGGGCACGTTGGGTTCAGTGATTAAACCCAAAACTGGAATTAAATTGTAATGCATGTAAATTGAGAATGTTGAGATCCTAATGTGCATGACTGAGTATGAAATTCAGAACAAGTGCTCCGAATGATGCAAATAAATGGTTTTGCAGCAGAGAAATAATGAACTCTTCTGTAGTGCAAAACTCATTTAGCAGCAAGGCTCAGAAGAAATAAGAAACACAGGTAATGAAGATGGGCCAGTGCTTTGATTACTGCTGTTCAGCCTAGCATAGAGGAGTGTCTGCTTCAGGCACTATCTAGCACTTCCCTGCTACAATATGACACTACATACTGCATATTGTCAGTATAATCATCCATTGTAAATCCAGAACTGACTGGAGTCCTCTAGAAAGTCTTTGAAAAATCGGTATAAATTT